TTGTTCTCAACTACTAGTTGGGGGTTCAGTCTGATACCAGCTACTCCACCATAGCCAGAAGTGGAAGTCCCCCTTACATTTTATTTTAGAAACATAGATTAACTGACATTTAAAATTTTATGAAATAGTTTGGACATAAAAAAAGGTATATTAAATAATATAATCAACACCCATGGTAGCTTTGCTCAGTTTCACCAAACTGTTGAGAACCCTGACTACTCCCCCAATCACATCCCTTCCTTTTCTACTCTATTCAAAATTTTGATTTTTTTAACTGTCCCCTTAAATTTCTCTATACTTCCAGGACACGTGTATGTTCACCTAAACAATATAGAGAGCTATTTTACACAGTGTTAAATGTGACATAGATGATATTACTATGTATGTGTTATTTTATTTTATTTTCACTATGCATTTTGTTTGTGAGAATCATTTGCTTTGCTGTGTGAAACTATGACTCATTTTCACATTGAGTGATTACGCCACAATTGATCTTTCCATTCTCTTGTTGATGGATATTTAGGTTGTTTCCAATTCTCACTATTAAAATCAATGCTGCTATAAACATTTCAGGGTATGCTTCTTGTACATACATGCCAGGGTTTCATCAGTGGTGTACAGAGGAGTAAAATGGCCGGGTCTTAATGCAAACACCTGCTCAAGTTTATTAGACCATGCCAAACTATTTTCCAGACCACTAATTGACATTTCCACTAGCCGTGAATCAGAGTTCCCATTACACCATGTCCTCAGCAACATGTGATGTTGCCAGACTTTTAGTTTTTGCCAATCGAGTAAAATTAAAATGGCGTGTCATTGTGGTTTTAATTTGCATTTCTTTGTTGGCTGTGAATTAAGCACTTTGTGCTCTCCGGAGCACCTACTTCAATCTGGCTCTCTACCTCCAAGCTTCTTCACTTCCCTAGAATCTCCTGAAATTTGGCTTTTAGTCTGAACTACCACAACCCTTGAAATCATTTCTTGGCACTGGAGCCTGGCAGATAAACACCTCTCCCCAGCCCCATTCCATCCAGGACTGTGCTGGAGTGCTTCACGTGCAGTGATGTATTTAGTGCTTCCAACAAACCTGCAGCAAAGAGTCATGACCCCCACTGTATAGATGAGAACACAGAGAATCGGAGGGGTTAGGAACTTGCCCAAGGACACACAGCTGGGAGCTGGCAGACTCTAAGCCAGGTGCTCTTCACTCCTTATAGGAGACTGCAGAGGTAGGTGGTGCCACAGGGGGTCCCATAGCAGGAAGGCCCTTAGGATACCCTCTGCCCTTCACTCAGAAAGCACACCTGGTGGTTTGGTGTGCATCTGGGAAGAAAGTACTGTTGCCCTCTGGAGTCAGCCTGAGTGTGAAGACTGACAAAGGCACAGATTCGGGGCAGGGAGAAAAATGGGACGGGGAGGAGTTCCGACTTGGTGCCTTTACCATTCAAGCCTGCTGTTCCCCGAATTGCGTGGCTGATTTTAGACAATGTTCAATATCTCTGCACCCCATAATGAAAGAGTTAGACCTTTTAAAATCTTTTTTCAGTCCTGTGATGCCAAGTGAAAATCTCAGTTTGGTGCTAGTTTGCCTTAAACAACCTGATACTCTTTAATCCCCCTTTTAAATGAAAGCAATCTGGATTTCCCAACTTCTCAGTTTTAAGCGGGAGATAGCATCTCACTCACATTCGATTACTGTCTTCTGTTTGCCTCCTATTTAGTTTTACAGTTAATCGATCGTTTTGTTTAAGAAACACATAACATCTACAATTATGTTGGACACTGTCCCCGATGTTTTACAAATACTAATTTACTTCTCCCAAGGACCCCCCGAGGTGGGCACTGTTACTAGTATGTCCATTTTACAGATGAGGACTCTGAGGCCCAGGAAGGTTAAGTAAACTTCTCTGAGGTCCCACAGCCTGTAAATGGCCGTGCTGGGATTTAAGCTGAAGCAGGCTGGCCCGGAGTCTGCGTTCTAACGACTGTAGTACACACAGTCTCTCCATTTCATACTAGTTCCCTGTTGATTGTAGGGATATATTTTCTTTTGAGACATGTTTATTGGAGTAAACTTGGGAGGAAAGGTAAAGATAAATAGCAAGTAGATAATAGCACCGGTGAAAACCTTGAAAGCCGTAAGTGGCAGGAGTTCTGGAACATTCCAACATGGCTTCATGGATGCAAGGGCAGAGCAAGGGGGCCGTGAAGACTGAGTTTAGCGGGATGGGAGGAGGGGAGGTGTTCAAGGAGAAGACTCAGCACAGGAATTTGCCTCGTGCAAAGGCAGAGAGGCATGATGGGGCCTCAGGTGCTAGGGGGAGGCTGAGTAATTCAGAGTAGCTGGCCAGTAACTGCAAGAACCCAGCACCCTTGTATAGCACTTTCTGGTTCACAGAGCACTGTCACATCTGCTTTCCACTGACCCCTCTTAACTGCCAGGTGCAGTGAGCATGATTGTCCCCATTTTAGAGATGATAACCAGGGTCAGAGAAATACCAGAAAAAAATTTTTGTTATTTTTTGCTCCAAGTTACTCTGGCTTCCAGTTCTGGGCCCTTTGCTCTATTCCACTGTATCAGGTATCTTTGGTAGCAAGCAACAGAAACATAATTCACATGGTTGAGCAAAATAGGGTGGGTGGTTTGGGGGGGGCGGGGTTTATGTAAAGGAAAAGTCCAAGTGTGGACATCAGATACGGCTGGATCCAGGTCCTCAAATAATGCCGTGGGGACTCTGGGTCCGTATTTCTCAGCTTTTGAGAAAATTTCAGGCAGGGTCTCCCTAAGAAGTGACAAAGATGGCTGCCGGCTTCCAGCAGGGAGCCAAAAAAGTACCTCTTTACTAGAGTTCTAGGAAAATCCCCAGACTGCTCTCATTCTCCTTGCTTGGGTTGGTGTCCATCCCTGATCCATTCAATGCGGCCAGGCAGGTGGGATGCTGTCTTGGCCAGGTCTGGGTCAGGTGCATCCCCTCTATCCCCAGGCACCTGTGTGTCATATGTGCAGAGCTGAGGAATTTGGAAGGACGAAGAGCCTTGAATCTGGGCAAGGGAGTTGGTGATTTATCCTGTGGTCCAAATGGAGCCTCTGGGGAGCCTCTGGGGAGTGACATAGACGGAGCTATGCCAGGCCTGGTACTGGGGTCAGAGGTGTGGACCTGCCAGTGAGGGGCAGATAGGAACCCCACCTCCCATGATGGGTAAGTGTGATAAGAGGGCTCCTGCAGGCCTTGGGCCAAGCAAGATCAGTGTTCCTTAAAGGAGATTTAAAAGGTTGTTGACCCAACATTATTTTAATAACAATGTTATTCATTTTAAGATGTACTGGAGAAAAAATATACAACTATGAATATTATTGCTTAGGATGAGGCTGGAGTTGGATTTTTTAAATAAGCTCATTTATAGAAAACATTAAATAAATGATAGCACACACGATCTACAAATATGGCCAACATTTTGAAAGTGAGAAATTTAGGGACCTCTTGGCTAGATCATTCTGGGGCCCCTCTACTTCTGATGCTCTAAATTCTCTATCCGTCACAGCTGTTTGCTGAGTGTTTACGTGTCAGGGGCCATGCCCAGGGTTTTCTGCAAAATGTCTCCTTGAATTCTTACAAGAATCTGGGAAGCAAGCTTTACTCTCTCTACAGGGCTCAGACAGGGGGAGTGACCGGCCCAGAGCAACACAGCTGGTGACCTGACCTCTCAGGGTGCGTTGCCACTGTTTGCTGGGTGACTTGTTAGGGAACTCAGAAGGAGTTCTCAGTGGGGCCAGAGTAGGGTCTGGGGGAACCCAGGGATGGGGGGGTCTTCCCATTGTGGGCTCAGGGATGGTGTCTGGAAGAAGTCATGCCTGCAACTTTGTTCCTGCATGGGGCATCCCTCTAGGCTCCAGTTCCTGTTACAATCCTGTAACCAGGGGCCAGTCTGGGTGGGGCTCCTCAGCCTGGACAGGTGGATGCCCCCTTACCCACCCAGCCTCTGGCTGGCACCTCCCCAAGCAGACATAGAGCTGGGGTGCTGTGGGCATTGCCAGCCTGGTGGGTCACTCCTTTGCCAAAGGCACCAGCGTCTGCTCCCCCTGGGGAGGTCCATGCCGTTCTCCAAAGAGGCATCTCCTGCATCTCATCCAGATCAGGGAGTCAGGCTCACCTCCATGGGGTCCGGCCTGGGTTCTTCAGATGCTTTCCAGTGCACTCGCTAACCTGGGCTCTGTGACTGAGTAAGGAGCCTTGTTATCGGGCTAACCTTATCTTAGGTATCCAGTAGGGGTCTTCTTTGTGGGCTAACTTTGGATCTGTTATTCAGTAAGAAGCCAATCTATTGGGCTAACGTCAACAAGGGTGTTTTATGGAAAGAAGGACTCAAGATTTCTGCTTGTCAAATACCGCTTTCCAACCAACTTCCCCTCCCCGCCTCCCTGCCTCCCTGCCTCTCTCTTTTTCAGGTGGATAAATGCCCACGTTTACTCTCATGCATAGCGCTACATCCTTAGGCTTCCAGGGGCAGGAGAGCAGCTAGCTAGGAGCCTCCCTCTTTAAATTCACCTCTCAGGGGCATCTGGGTGGCTCAGTCATTAACCGTCTGCCTTCGGCTCAGGTCATGATCCCAGGGTCCTGGGATCGAGCCCCGCATCGGGCTCCCTGCTCGATGGGAAGCCTGTTTCTCCCTCTCCCACTCCCCCTGCTTGTGTTCCTGCTCTCACTGTGTCTCTCTCTGTCAAATAAATAAATAAAATCTTTAAAAAAATAAAATAAAATAAATCACCTCTCATTTGGGACTGTGTTAGGGGACAGGAAGAAGGTGGGAGAAATGGGGTCCAAGGGGCGAGTCAGCCACTTCTAAGGGGCAGGAATCCTTGGGACCCTCCATGGGCTCCTCCAACTCTTATTTTTCTGAGAATCTGAAGTAAGTCTTCCAAGGGAGGACCAGAGGGATGCTGTTCAGTGTCCCTTGGTCCCCAGGCCCAGGTGCACCCTCTCACTCTAAGTCTCTTCCAGGATCCTGAGAGTCAGCATGCCGTGTGGCTCAGTGGTCGCTCTGTTCCTGCTAATGCTCCAGGGTGGTGAGTATCTGCCCCAAGGTCTGTGGGTGGGGAGGGCCAAGCTGGTCCATAGGCTCCAGGGCACGGCTAGAGGCTACAGGCCGGAGTCTGTGGCATCTGCTCACTTGGGCTGGCCTAGCCAGCTCTCCATCAACTAGAACCTGTCCCTCCAGAGAGCCCTATGGCTCATGTGAATCCCACAGGGACCAGACCACCAGCTGAGGTCTTCATATCTCACTGCAGGGACAAGAAACTTGATTCTCTGTCCACAGCTCTCTGACTTGGCTGGCTCCCAACCCTCAGAGGGAGGAAGTCCTGCCTTTGGTCTAACCTCAATTTCTCTTTGTGCAATGACTCTCCTAGGAGATGTTTCTCAACAATCACAGAATCCTCAGCAGACACTGATGGTCCCCAGCTGGGGGTGGGCAGGAGGAAAGGAGGTGGAGAAAGGGAGGGGGAAGAGAGGTAGCCAAACCTTGGAAGGCACCCCCAGGGGGCCAGAGGATGTTGCAGTCAGAGGGAGAGAAGCTAGTGACCAGAGCTGGGAAAAGCCAAGAGTTAGACTTGGGCTCAGAGATCAGGGAGGCCTTCCCAGAGGAGGCGGGGATGCAGCATACAGGCTCAAATGGGGGCTGGACTGGAGGCAGGGGTCCCTCAGCCTCTGCTCTGCTGATTCTGCATTTCTCTCTGGTTTTTACCGAAAGACCCAGAACCTCAAATAGCTTCTTCAGGAAACAGATGTCTGGCTCTTTTATTTTCCCCTTCTGAGTGACCAGCACTCCGTCCTGGGTCACCCGCCAGGGCACCACACACATCCCATGAGCACAAATAACAAGTCCCTGATGCACCCACATATCCCCCCTGCCCTCCAAGGGGCCAGTGTCCCCAGCTTACAACGAGGGCCTCGGAGCAGTCGTGAGTCACGTGTCCACCGTTCTGGCCTCTCAGGGCCTCTTGTATGTTCTGATAACCCTGGACGAGGGAGGCCCCGGGGCTGTCTGCCCGGGGGTTGGGCTACAGACCAGGGGACTGGGTCCTTCGTGCCACATCCATGCTAGCTCAGGGGCTGCTGTCCCCTCCGCAGTGTTCCAGTTCAAGATTGGGACTAACTTTGTCAAGCCCTTGGTGACCTTGAGCCTAGCTAGGAACGGTAGCTCCTCCCCCAAGTTCTAGAACCCTGAACTAGAACAACCAGGGTATGAACTGGGAGAATACATAGCCACATGGTGGCTCCCGCAGCCCCGGGCTTAGGCCCCACCAAAATCAGTCCTCTTTTCTCCACCAAGTGCCTTCACTGGCCTCCTATGCCCACCGGCAGACCCCATGCTCCTCCCCAGGGGAAGGCTCCTCCTAGCGCAGGACTCACTGCCACAGCTCAGATCCCTTGGCGGTGGCTGCTGGGCCACCTGTGTTGAGGGGGATTCTGAGGGTCACCCGAGGGAGAGAATGCTGTGATCGATTAGTGATGTCTGCTCCGTGTGCAACAATAGCACAGATGAGATTTTTCTTTCCCAGGTGAGAATCTCAGCAGCCCAGATGCAGAGAGACAGGAGGTGTGGTCCAGTCTCAGAGCCTCTGGGTCCTTGTCTATAAAATGGCGATGGCAGCCAGCTAAGGGTGCTTCCAACAACAGTCTTCTTGGCTCCGAATCCAGCTTCTGACCTAAAGTGAGGGCCAGGAAGGGAACATACCACCACCCCTTGGGTCTTCATTAGTCGAGAAAAAATAGGAAAGAGCCACTAAGAATGAATCCACTTAAAAAGGGGAACGAGTTTCTGGTAAATAGTTGGAGGGTAGGCGGGGGAGAAATAGCAGTGTTGGTACTTAATCTTACAGAACAAAACTCAGCTCAAACTTACTATATTTATTTTGTTGCAAATTTAGATTATGGTTGCATGGAAATTTCGATTATGGTTGCACCTATAATTTTAGAGCAAAGGGGAGCAATTAACGTTGGGGGTGGGAGAGCATGAAGTCTCCCGACAAAACAGCCTGAGTGAGCAGTCCTTGTGTCACTTGGCAGCAGTGGTCGTGGTGGCGGTTTGGCCAGTAGGCTAATACGGACATTCCGTCAAAAGTTTTCGAGGACTTCTTGGTTTGGGTTGTTTTCCTCCTCCCTTGACGTACTTCCGGCCTCCCTGAGGTCTGTGTCCCAGCTGCTGTGAATCATTACAATTCACATTTGGAGCATCCTGTCTCAATAGCCAGCCTTGAAACTCAGGGGTCACACAAAGAATACTCAGGTGGCAGGGACCCCCCCCTTCCCCAAGCCCACATCTTAGAGGCCCTGTGCGTTGCCATATTTGTCCTGGCCCTGGGGACCCGTACCTCCAGTCAGCCTCCAGCCCTTGAGGGGGCAAAGGGGGGAGGCACCACGCAACCTCCGGACAGCCTCGCCCCCCATGACAGCCTCTGTCTCCCCTAATCTTCCAGCCTGGGGTTGCCTAGACCTCGTCTGCTACACCGATTACTTTCAAACAGTCACCTGCACCCTAGAGACAAGGACCCTCCAGCCCGGCACGCTCACCCTCACCTGGTAAGTGGCCGGACCTCAGCAGCCCTGGGGATGCTACTCAGGGTAGCCACAGGAGGGCTGGGGTGAAGCAGGGCCGCTGGGGACCACAGACCGAGGGGGACCTACTGTGTGCCCTGCAGATAGTTTAACAATCAATATAATAGGTCCACTTCCTGAGGGTTCTCTCAGCAAGGTCACCAACAGCATTTGGTTTTGCCCCAGGAAAGATGGTTCGTTAGCAGGGAATCGCCCGGCCACCTTACAGACGGCCACACGGGGCTCACGGGGCTCGTCCAGAGCGTGCAGCTGAGAGGCCACGGGGCGTTTCCGTCTGCCTCCAAAGGCCATACTCTCTTGCCCACACAGCCCTAACTATGTGGGGTTTTTTTTTTTTAAGGATTTATTTATTCATTTTAGAGAGGAGGGGAGAGAGGGGCAGAGGGAGAGAACCCCAAGCAGACTCCGTGCTGAGCACGGAGCCCAAAGCAGGGCTTGATCCCACGACCCCGAGATCATGGCCTGAGCCGAAACCAAGAGTCGGTGAATGGTGGAGCTGGGATTCAAACAGGCAGCCTGATTCCAAAATCCACAGGCCCCTATTAGTCCACATTGTTAAAGAACGGTGAGGGGAGGCTTGGCTCAAGACCACTGCCAGAGGCGCAGGGACCCTGCATATGGGGCTTTGCAGTCGGGGGAGAGATCGGGCTCAACCCCAAATACAAGGAAAAGGGGAGATTTAGAGCCAAGGAGCAGGGTGGGGTCAGTGGATGGAAAATTACCAAGAGGCCACATCAAGGGGAAAGGGGGTGGGTTCTGGCTACATGACGTCACAAGGTTCTTGCTGACGGCAGCCCAGGCTGGTCAGACGTCACCCGGGGGATGAGGTGGAGGACAGGAGAGATGACATGGAAGCCCAAAGGTCAGGGCCTCGTCGAGGAAAGTGCTCAGAGGAGCCTGAACAGAGCTTGCTCAAGGAGAGAATCTTTGTTCATAAGCTGCTCAGGATTAAGAAAATCTGTCATCCTCAATTCATTCAAACATTCATCCATCCAGAACACATTTATTGACCTCCTGCTAGACATTTGCAGGCACTGGGGGTTCAGCAGAGCCCAAGACTGAGGAGGTCCCAGAAGTTCTGCAGCAGGGTGTGTCTGGGGAAATAGACAATAAACACATAAGCAGCCATCAGGAAGCTTTCTGATGACAGTGAGTGCTATAAAGAACAGGAACCAGGGCCACGGGGTCCAGAGAGAGTGACATGGGGGTGGGCAGTCAGGGCAGGCCTCTCTGTTTGAGAAGGAGGCAGCCAGTGAGCATTCCAGGTAGAGGGCACTGCCCATGCAAAGGCCCTGAGGTGGGGAAGAGCTGGTGAGTTTGAGGAATAGCGAGGAAGTCAGTGTGGCCAGAGTGGAGTGAGTCAGCGTGAGGGAGAGTACAAGCAGGGGTGAGCGGGAGGCCGAGGCCAGATTGCCCTGTATGGGTGGTGAGAAGTCACTGGAGGATTTTAGGCATGGGAGCGACAGGGGGTTTTTAAAGGCCCCCCTGGCTCCTGTGCAAGAGACTTGCATTGACTGAGCAGAAGTTTCTATTCTAACAAATATTTAGCAGAGAACAGAGTCTGCACATCCATACTGGCCTTGAAGGGTAGTCATGTTCAGAGCCTGAAGGTGTAGGTAGGGAAATAAATATCTGTTGAACTCCTATACATACTTAAAAACCCATCACTTAATGCCTAGTGGGAGTAAAAAGACCAGAGCAGTGCTCCCAACCCCATACCAAAAGCCTCCCTGGAATTTCAGCCAGAGCAGGGGATGAGGTTCATTTGGTTCTTACCTTGGCCTTCAGCCCAGGTACTCACTGGGTATCCCGTGGATGTTGGGTGGAAGGAGGGCAGGAAGGAGACCTGAGGTGCTTAGCATCCTTCCTATAGGACTGTGATCCAGCTGATGGGATTGGCAGGGACAGACTTAGACTCAGTCTAGGCAAGAATGGCCCAAATTTCCAAAGTTGCAAGTTGGTGCCCTATGTGAGGTGGTGAGTTCCTCGTTCCTTGGAGGCACACAAGCCAAGCCCGGACGCAACCCATCAGGGATGCTTTGTGGGAGGGGACACCTTCCCTGGGAAAGTGTTGGTGGACCAGGTGACCCCTGCCCCAGCCTCAACTCAAATCCCCCCACCAGCCCCACCTCAAATCCCCCCCCCAGCCCCGAGCTTCTGGCCGTGTGCACGGAGCCCCACCGGCCTCCAGGCATGACTGGCTGCTCTGTCCTTGAAGGCAAGACCCATATGGAGAGCTGGAGGATGAGGTCACCTCCTGCAGCCTCCACCGGTCCTCCTACAATGCCACGCACGCAGAGTACACGTGCCACATGGATGTGTTTCACTTCATGGCCGACGACATTTTCAGTGTCAACATCACAGACCAGTCCGGCAGGTCCTCCCAGGAGTGCGGCTGCTTCGTCCTGGCTAAGAGCAGTGAGTATTCCCGGGGACCCCAGAGCAGAGGAGAACCCAGGCCAGGGCTGAGCCCCATGCGCCGCGGGCTGGCTCGCCGCCATCATCAAAACTGACCTGTCCTAGGAGCTCATTTCTCCTTCGAGTTTGTTCCGTAGAAGCGCAACGAAGGCGTGATGGGTTGATACCTAGGTTTGGGCCTTAACCAAAGAGAGGCAGCTGAGGCCTGAAACGGAGCTGGACCGGGGCCCAGGACCTGCCCCTCTGTGACCCCGGACTGGCTCACTGTTTGTCGAGTGAGGGCCCTTCTGGGCTTCTGCCCCCATTTTGAGGCAAGCGGGGGAGGCCGTGTCACAGGAGTAAGGCTTCCCTGAGATTTCTCCTGTTTATTAGCTCCGAGGCCCAGAGCTTCCCTACACCCTGGAGGAAGGGAGGAGGCCTGGCTGGGGAAATCAGCTGTTCTATGGGTCCAGAGCCAGGGCAGGGCAGGGAAGAGCACAGGAGGTAACTGTGAGTGTGTGTGTGCCCCCAAAGGGGAACGTCCAGGGAGCGTGTGAGAGGCCCGTGCCCAGAGGCATGTAAGCGGACCTCGAAGAGAGACCTGCCCTTGGAGAGGCTCAGACCCTGCGGCCTGGGAGCGTATCCCCAGATTCCCACAGTGGGGCAAGAAGATAAGAGGACGTCTGTCATTCACACTCTGGGGGTCCAGGTTTGCACCACTTTGCAAACAGAGGGCGTGCGCAGAGCTTCACGTATACCCAGACACACCCAGACTCATACACATGCATCCACACACTCTAAATACCCCCTCAGATGCACAGATGTCTTACCAACAACTCCTGGCCTGGACAGCTTGGACAGATGATGCTCACGCTCTCTCTCAGACACATGCTGATGTGTGCACACGCATGCACACGCATGCACACACATGCTCACTTGGTCATCTGGACCCAGGCATGGCAAGCTTATGGAGCAGGGCCACCTTCCTGCCTCTGGGGGAGCTGGGGTGGGCAGCATCCCCACCCCTCCCCTGCAGAGCAGAGTGCAGGGCAGAGAAGGAGCTGCTTTGCCTTGCAGGGGGCTCCAAGTCACGGTTCCCTCCGACCCCTCCCTCCTGCCCTCCCTGCCAGGGTCTGAGGCCCACCTGTGCCCAGATGTGGCAGAAGGTGGCATTCGGCTCCCGGCCCACTCCGGCCCTTTCCTCCTCCTGGGCACCAGGCTCCGCAAACATCCGAATCCCTCCCTGAATCAGTCCACGCCACCCAGCCCATGCCACACAGGGAAGTGGAGAGCTCCACCCGGCCTGGGGAAGACGGAAGAGGGTTTAAGAACGAGTCCAGTCCAAATGGACCCATGGCTCAAAGACAGAAAAGCCCTCGATGGGGCCCCGGGAATGTGCACCTTCTCCCAACTCGAGCAGAGAAGTAAGCAGCTTTAGAGTTCCTTTTTGCAACCCCTGAAAGCTTCGTTTGTTGATTTAATAAGTATTTCTCCAGGGCCTCTGTGCACCTGTTCTGTCCTGGGAGCCGTGGGCACAACATTGACCCAAGAGAACAAAACCCCGGCCCCAAGCAGCTCAGATCCCAGAGAAGGGGCGGGTGGTGAACAGGATCACACAGGGAAATGCAGAAAATGTTAGATGTTGGCAAATAAGGTGGAAGAGAAGAAGGGAGCCGGGGGATAGGAGCTTCTGGCTTCTCTCTCCCGGAAGGGACCTCCTTCTGCTACTGAGTTTGGTCCCCGAGAATTGTCACCCCATGAAAGAGGAGCTGGGGAGCTGGTACCGTTTTACAAGAGAAGAAATGAAGGCTTCTAACCGTGTTGTATCCCGCTCACTTTCATGAAACAAATTTGGGATGGAGCAGAATGGGAGGCCCGGCTTTGACCTTTGCCTGGGAAGCACCCAGGAGGGTGTGGTGCTGTGACTCAGGCCTCTGCCCTTGCACTTTCCAGAAGTCTTGGAACGCAGGGCCACTGAGGAGGGTCAGACTGCTCTGCAGACAGCCCCGCAGGAGCTCGGTACTGTTCGCTTTCGCCATTAGTATTAATGAATATTAATGATATCTCATTAGCATTAATGCTAATCAGAGTCTGGCTTCTCTGGGAAGCTGCAGCTAAAAGAAAATGATGTCATCGTTTAGAACAGAAACGCAGAACTGGTTCCTCTGGCCCACACGTCGCTTAGCAAGTTTTTGGATTAGGAGCTAACTTCATTCTTTTTTTAGGATTTTTAATTTATATATTTGAGAGAGCGTGTGCATGCACGAGAGAGATTGAGAGAGAGAGAGACATGGGCGGGGGCGGGGGGGATGGGGGGGCAGAGGCTGGGGAAAGGGGAGAAGCAGACTCCCCGCTGAGCAGAGAGCCAGACAGGGGGCTCGATCCCAGGACCCCGGGATCATGACCTGAGCCAAAGGCAGACACTTAACCGACTGAGCCACCCAGGCGCCCGGATTAGTAACAAACTTTAATGTTGGAGAGAGCTTTCCCCCATGTGGGATTCCAGGCTGTTCTCTGGCCACCCTGGTCTGCAGTCCTGCCCAGCCTGAGTGTGGCATCCTGCTTACATGTCCTCAGACCCCAAACCTGCTTCGCCCACTTCTGTTACCCTCCCACCCCTGCGGCTGCAGCTCCAATGTGGTCTGAACTTCTCATTTCTCGGATGCACAAACTGAGGCCCAGAGACAGGGGTTGCCTCGCCCAGAGTCACACGGGGGTACAGATCCCGACCCACCACCAACACCGGGTCGGGTGTAGAGAACTTCCTGCCACCACATCCTTCTCAGCTGCAGCCCAATCTCACCCCTTTCTTATCTTTCTGGCTTTTCCCTTCAAGTCAAGCCGTCCCCCCCTTTCAACGTGACCGTGACCTTCTCGGGGCAGTATAACATCTCCTGGAGCTCCAATTACGATTTCTTCACGCTGAAGGGCAAGCTGCAGTATGAGCTGCAATACAGGAAGCGGGGAGGCCCCGGGGCTCTGGTGAGGCTTGCAGAGACTTGGGGGAAGGAGGGAGGGGAGGCGCCGTGCTGAGCATCTGGGGCGCACTGGTGGTGGGGAGGGGGTTTTGAGCGACAGGTGAGCTGGTGACTCACAGCCAAGAATGGGACCAAGGACCCACCGAGGCTGGAAGCTCTCCCCTCCGCCCTCCCACCCCATGCTGCCCCCCCTCATTTCTCCCTGGGGTGGGAGGCCCCTCAAAATTCTTTCCTTCATGCCCCTGGTTCCTCGATCAGCATGCCAGAGAAGAAGAGGGTAGCACATCCTCAGTTTTCCTCCCAGAGTCTAGTATAGTCACAGCAGAGGAAGTTTCAGAAATGGGGCCAGCTGGAGCCTTCCCCCTTGGCTTAGAATGGCCCCAGGTGAAGAGCTCCAGAAGTTCAATAACCAAGAAAGTCCAGTGTTAGAGGGACGATTGTTTCCAAGGTGAAGACTTCTAGAAGTATCCTTGTTTAGAGCGTTGGAGAGTTCCCAAAGGGCCCACTATTCAGAACAGTCACGGCTGAAGCCTTCTAGAATGATCCATCCTTCAGAGAGGTCCCAGTCGAAGAATTTCATACATGTGGTTGTTTGGAATGTCCCCCGTGGAAGGCTTCCAGAGATATCCGTTGCTGAGAGGCCTGTGGTCCAAGACTTGCAGAAATGCCTGCTGTTGAGAAGGCCCACTATGGAACAATTCCAAAAGCGACCACTGTCTGGAAGGCTGCTGGTTAAAGATTCTGGTTAAAGAGGGGCCACTGCTACTCCTGGGCTGGTCCCAGGCCTCGCCGGGAGGGTCCCCTGCCAGGACTGTGAGGGGAGAGCTGGGATCAGAGAGAAACAAGGTCTAGGCAGTGCCCGTGGCTCTGTGCCGCCCCCACCGGAGTGGACGGGACGCAAGCTGAGCCTGGTCTTGTGGAGGGAGCGGGGCCTTTGCAGGAGACCCTCAGCCCCTCTCGGGGCGGCTGGGAAAGGGTGCTTCTGCTGGAGGCCGGGGCTGGCCTGGCTGAGCCTGACCCGGTGCATCCTCCCTGTGTGCTGGCAGAGTCCCCGGAGAAAGCTGATCTCAGTGGACTCGAGGAACGTGTCTCTCCTTGCCGTGGAGTTCCAGAGTAACTCGAGCTATGAGGTGCAGATCCGCGCAGGGCCCCAGCCCGGCTCCTCCTTCCAGGGGACCTGGAGTGAGTGGAGTGACCCGGTCACCTTTAAAACCCAGCCGGAAGGTAGGTGTGGCTCCTGGCAGGGCACTTGGTGCTCTTCATAACTCCTTGCAGTGGGAATTATTATCCCCATTTTGCAGATGGGAACACAGAGGCCCAGTGAGATGAAGTGGCTTGCCTGGGGTGGGGATGGGAGCAGGATCCCAGACCGCCCCACTTCCAGGCCCCCGCGGCCTTCCCATGCCCTCCACACCAGCCCAGACCCATTGCCCCCCACACCCGCCCCACATGGCCTCTGGGAGAGGTGGGCTCCACTTTACCCAGTGTCTGCTTCCTTCCCAGAGATAAAGGGAGGCCAGCACATTTACCTGCTCTATTTCCTGCTTGTCTTCATACTCCCCATCCTCGTCTTCTTAGGCCTGAAGATCCACCTGCCTTGGAGGTAAGGCCAGGGATTCAGGGTGGCAGGGGGAGGGGGTCAGCCTGGGCCAAAGCCCCTCTATAACCACCCAGGGTTGGGGGACACAGCCTGTCATCGCGACAGTGGTCATGACAATGATGGTGATGAGAAACAGCTCCTGTTCACTGGACACCATGCAGCGCGCCCACCTCACCTTCACCTTCAAGCCTTAGGAGCTTGCCATTCGGGACTTACCTCCCCTGGACAAATGGGGCAAAAGCAGGGAAGCACAGAGCTGGCAAAGAACTTGCCCAAAGCCGCACAGCTCTGAGGTGGAGTCTGCCCCAGTGCTCATGACAGTGACCTAGGCTATGATCTTGTCCGGTGACGTTTATGCTTTGCATCCCGGAGGGGCACGCAGGGCCGCCAGGTCATGGGGGATAATCCACCCCACCCCCTTCCCTTCTGCTCCAACCAGGGTTTGCTGAGCCCTGGGCAAGGGTGGGGGGGATCCGGACACCCGGCTCGATGTGTTCATCTGCATCCAGAGGCTTTGACAGAGATGGAGGCAGAGAAGCTGGAGGGGGGAGAGAGCGCGATGCGAATAATAATGAAGATCACGGAGCACTCTCTGGGTGCTGGGGTGCTGGGGCTCCCCACACCCCTGTGGAACCGGCCCTTTGCTCATCCCTGGTGGTGGAGGAGGAAATTGAGGCTCAGAAGGGGCAGCATTTGCCAGGCACAGAATAGGCAGCCAAGCGCTTAAACTCCGGGCACCTGCATGAGACTTGCTGCCCCCATTTTACAGATGTGGAAGTTGAGGCCCGGGGTAGAGAGGTGGAAGGGAGGTGCGTGCGTGTGCTTTGGGCGGGGGCTGAGTGTCCTGCAGGACAAAGTTGGGGAGCCCCTGAGTGGGAGGCCAGGCTGCCCTCTGGGGAATGGTGAGGGCTTACCTCGTCTCTGCCCTCCCAGGCTGTGGAAGAAGGTGTGGGGGCAGGTGCCCAACCCACAGAAGTTCTTCCAGCCCCTCTATGTGGGCCACAGTGGAGACTTCAAGGTGAGTGCCCTTCAGCCCGTGACAAACCCCGCGGAGCCTCTTACCCTCTGGGAGCTTACCTCCACCTGCGCCCCAGGACCCCAGCTCCACCCTGCAGGCCCAGAGTGCCCGGGCCCCAGCCAGGCCCCGGTCTCTGCATCTGCAGAGTGCAGGAAATAATTCGGGTGGGGCGGAACTGGTATAAGAAAAAATCGGGCAGCATCTCCCAACCCAGGAGCCAGGCTGGGGGAGGGGGTGAGCCCGGTGGTTCCTTGAGTCACAAACGGGTCTCCTGCTTCTTTATCAGAAGCCCCCGAGACGGAGCAGGTTCTGGGAAGGGTCTGGCCCCACCTGCCAAATACACCAACCCCCCGCCAAGCCCCAACCACCCGTCACCCGCCGGCGCCCACAGTTGTCTGTGCCCATTTACCGCTCAACACCCACCCCACGTGGGAGGGCCCGCCGCAGAGAGGATGTGGTGACTTGGGGGGGGCAGCCCGCCCACTCCCGCTGAGCCTGGATGTCAGGAAACGTGGACCAGAGCATTGGCTGAGCTCCTGCTGTCTGCCTGGCGCTGCACTGAGCGCCCTCTACCCCCTGCCCCTTCCATCCTGATCGTGGCCCCTGGGTGGGGGTGGGGGGTGCTCCATCGTCCACAGGGCACCCCTGGGGAGACCGAGGCTCCGAGTGGGGAAGCGGCTTTCGTGAGGCAGGGGAGCAGCCTGGACTCCCACCCCCACCCCCGGGGGGGAGAGAGACCCACCTCCTTCCTCTGCACCTTCCCTGAAGCTCAGATACCACACCTATTCGGTGTTTACTCCCCCTATACTCACATGTGCCTGGCCCTCTGCAAGGAGCTTCCGAGATGTGAATGCAACGACTCCTCACCACAGCTCTGGGCAGTGGGTGCTACTGGCAGATGGGGGGCGTCTCACCCGGGGCCTGAGATGTTTTCTGAGGCAGCAGCCTCAAAACTGGGAGATTCTGGTTCTCAGGGGTTTTCACTGCCACTCGGATGGAGACCCTGTGTCATGAGTGGGACCCCAGGCCAGTGAGGGCAGGGTGGGGGATGCTCAGAGCTTGGGGGCGCTGCCTCGGTCCGTCATCGTTCCACATCCCTTACCCACCAAGCACACAGAGGCCTTTCCCAGGGGCTTGTCACCAATTCCCTCCACGTGTTCGTTTAGTTAATACACATTTATTGGGCACCGACTGTATGCGAGGCAGTGTGTGAGCCTCCGGGAACACAGCTGGGACCAGAAGAATCGAGGCGTCTGCCCTGGCCGAGTGTCCACTCCAGTGGGGACACCAACAGGAGAATGTTCGTTTTCAAGAAGTGTCCCGGAGGAAATGAAACAGGGGACCGGGTGGCGGCTCTGCCGCCCAGACCTCAGGCCCTCCCGCCCCCATGTCCCTACAACTCAGCAATCTTGGCCCCTGCTACCCAGGCCCTATGAAGACCCCAGGCCCCCGAGCACTGATTGTCTGGCAGGCTACTGAGGGCAGCGGCTCCCTCCTGCAGGTGGGGAAACTGAGGCCCAGGGAGGCAGGGACAGTGGTGAGGAGGGTCCCCGGATAGGGGCGCACCATGGCTCTGACCCCTGGTGCTCTCTTTATCCTCTCATGTCTGTCTCTTGCTGGCTCTGTCTGGCTCTATGTCTGTCTGTCCATGCCCTCCTTGCCCCCGTCCTGTCATGACTGTCTCCCTTTTCTCTCACACAGAAATGGGTGGGTGCATCCTTCACTGCCTCCAGCCTGGAGCTGGGACCCCAGAGCCCCGAGGTGCTTTCATCCCTGGAGATGTTCAACCTTTGCCCACCGCAAAGCGCCGTCAAGGGGCCGCAGTCCATGCCTCTGCCGGAGCCCACCGACCTGGTGGAAGCCGACGAGGGGCCTGAGCCGGACTCCTGGGGCCCAGCCCCTGCCACCACCGGCAGCTTGGGTGGCTCGGCTTATAGCCAGGAGAAGGACCAAGTGTACAGCGTACTGTCCATCAACACGGTGACCGTAGCAGACATGGAGGGGCTGTGTGCCTGGTCCTGCACCTGTGGGGATGACGGCTACCCAGCCCTGAACTTGGACACCAGCCTGGAGCCCGGCTCAGGCACTGAGGACCCGCTCTTGGACACCGGGACCACAGTCCTCTCCTGTGGCTGCGTCTCGACTGGTGGCCTTGCCGGGCCGGGAGGCCCTCCTGGCAGCCTCCTTGACCAGCTAAAGCTGCCCCTTGAAGATGAGGCAGGTTGGACCCCAGGCCCGCCGTGGAGTGGCGGGCCCCACAGAGGGGCGTCTGACAGCGAAACGGGCTCGCCTCCCGCCGGCCTGGACATGGACACTTTTGACAGTGGCTTCGCGGGCTCTGACTGCGGCAGCCCTGTGGAGTGTGACTTCACCAGCCCCCGGGACGAGGGGCCCCCCAGGAGCTACCTCCGCCAGTGGGTGGTCATGGCCCCGCCAACCGAGGGACCCGGGCCCCAGGCCAGCCAGTGAGGCTGACCGGCCGTCCAGAGCCATTCGGCCAGAGCCAGAGCTGGACTCACCTGGGCCGTGGGGTAAAGAGGCCTGCGACCTTTGGGCCCCCAGATGGGGCCCCTGAGCCTGGTTGACGCCTGGTGCGCATGTGTGGCCCCGGGAGCGCATGGGTGTGTCCATGTGCGGGAGCAGGTGCCCGTGGGCACGGAGGCAAGACGTACATGTGTCTGGGACTGTGTGCACACGATGACAGCCTCCCTCCTTTCTGGACGTGGGGCGGCCCCCCACGGACCCTGCCCTGCGGGGCCTGCCTCCAGGAGCCGTGAGAAGTCCCTGCTGTTCCTTTTCACGTCTCAGGGAGACGGGAAGGGGATGGAGTGAGGCCATGGGGACCCTGGCTGTGGGAAGGTTTGTGGGGGCCTTTGGACAGAGGTCTGAATCCCAACTGTGATGCCCCTGGGCTGTGCCACCTTGGGCCAGCCGCTTCCCCTCTCTGGGCTGGCTACTGGGGGGGGCCCGCAGGTGGCATGACCCCCCTTGGGGAGAAATCGGTGAGGTCACCCACTGTACAGGCTGCAGCAGAGCAGACCCTCAATAAATTCAGCTTCCTTCCTTCTGGGGCCCAGACCAAGCTTGTGCTGGTGGTGGGCAGGGGTGAGAAAGCAGCCACAGTTTGGGGCTGTCCTGCCCGCAGAGGGGCACTTGGTGGGGCGGGGGATGGTTCCAGGCTTCAAGTCAGCCTGTCCCTTAGAAACAGCACCCCCCGGCCAAGATTTGCTGGCTTCGGCTGCCCACTCAGTTATTCCCCTTATGCTCCCAAGTAATATTTATCGGTCACGAGTACATGTGCCGGGTTCTGGGGTACACGGTGCGGGGGGGCTCCTTTGGCACTCGTGGTGGAGGAGGGGCAGACAGGCGGTGATGACGCAGCCCTCCACTCCTCTGGCATCTTGCTTGCTCATCCCCGGGAATCGGGGAAGTCAAGGTCTTGTTGACGATTTCTCAGAGAGTCCGTTCAGAATGCGAATTGAGACGCTAAGAAAATCCATCTTGGCCACGTTTGAAGGCACCTTACCGAACATCAGCGCCACAGACTGCATGCAGCTCATGCTTTAACAAACCAAACCAAAACCAAAAACAGCAAACAAGACCATAGGTTGTTTTCCCAGTCGGGGTGCTCACCTTTAGAGGCGTCTTTTTCAAGCCCGCCAAGCAGGGTTAGGGAGGCCGAGAGTCTGATTCAGCAGGCCGGCCGGCTCCCAGAGCCCGGGGACATCCCTGCCCCAGCCTGGAACTGCCCGGGGCCCTGGTTCTCCCAGGAGGCCGGGCTGCTGGGCGGAACCCAAAGGGGAAAAGCTCTGGTTTGTCTGTCCTCTTGGATGAGCCTGAGCTACCTGTTGGTGGGAGTCAGTCCTGCAGAAAGCCTCACCGTGACTCATCTGTAGCATGGGGTGGTTGGGGGGGGAGTCCCCGAGAGAGTCCTGGGTACTGAAAGTTCTAGAACATTGATGGTTTCAACCGTGGGGCTGTTGACCTGGGATCAAAGTGAGGCTCAGCTGGGAGCTCGAGTCTGACACGGGAGCACAGTCTGACACAAGCGAGCAGCCCTCACCATCCCCCACTGTCACCTCCCGGGGACACTTGGGCCAAGGTATGCTGTGGTTTTCACATCCTCCTGGGGCCAGTGGGTTCCAGGGGCCACCTGAGCCACCGGCTCCCCAGGGGAGTCAGCGCAGCTCTCCCACGCACAGAGCTCTGGGCCGGGGGCCAGGGGGCCAGGAGGCCAGGGGGGCAGGGGGCCAGGGCTGGGGCTTGGTCAGGGGCTCTGGCTTGGGCCAGGCGTGGCTCCTCACTGACTCTGTCTCTGAAGGGGACTCAGCTGGTAAGCGGGCTGCAAAGAGGAGGCAGGAGCTGGTCCTCCTGGGAGGGTGGGTGATGAGGGACTGGTGGCTACGTGGGCAGGTGGACGGAGAGACGGATGAAGGGATGGTGAAAGGCTAGAAGGAAGAACGCAGATGGACAGGTGGAAACAGATGCTAGAGACCAGGATTGTAAGTCAAATATAAGCCCCGCGAGGGCAACAACTTCCTCTGTTTTGTTCCCTGCCCTACCTGCAGCCTGGCACATAGGCACTCAAAAAAGCCCGATTTGTAGGGTGTCGTGTGTGCTTTATTCCCATGGTGTAGACGCTTCCACCATGGCCAATTTCAAGCTACCAACCTGACAACCCCAAGTGGAATTGGGAAGAGATGTGTGTCATCAACCCTCCTAGGTGGTCCGAGCCAGCCCCAGCACCCCACTGACGGGAGCCCCGAGGGGCATCGGGAGGGGCTGGAGGGCTTCAAGGAGGAGGTGGTGGTTGTTGGACTTTGACAAATGGATAGGACTTGTTAGATGCACCGGCTTTTGTGGCAGAAGGAAGAGCTTGAGCAAAGGCCTGGAGGTGTGACGGAGCCCTGAGCACCTGGAGGTGGGGAAGGTGGCTTCTCGTCACCCAGAGTCCAGGCCACAATTGCCAGTGACTCTCTTAAGAGAGTCAGGAGGGTTGATAACAACACCCCGTGCACGGAAGCCATGCTCTCCTCCTGGGCCAGCCCTTTTCCATCTGCGGGGTCGGAGAGGGCAGGGCTATCCATGTGACGAATGAAGTGAAGGCGCACAACGGGCCAGAGGCTTGCTGGCCTGAGGTCACACACTGAATTAAAGATCACAGCCAGAACTCGAACTCTGGTCTCCTGACCCCAAATGCAGCTCTTCTTCCCCTTGCTCAGCTGGGAGGGACCTAGGTCAAGAGGGAACACTTGTGGGGTGCCTGTTGCTTCTGTCCATGCAGCGTCCTTGTGGGGCGGGCAGCTGACCCCAGCTCTGAAAGTGGCTGACAGACCATTCCATGCCACCCCAACCCCCGCCACACCACTGGTTCTGGGACATACACGTGACTCAAACTGGTCCATGTGCTCTTTCTGCTAGGACTGCCGAGCGGTAGGGATGGACTGAAGCCCGGGGCTGTGGGGTGGGGCCAACACACAAGAAAGCAGAGCTGGGAACAGAGATTGATTCCTGGTAATATCTCTTGAGCTCCTGGATCCAGCCATGCCTGAAACCACATCCCCATGGACTTTTGAGGTACCCAAGTGTGGAAGTCATTATGCTCTTCACCTTCTGGACCCCCTGGTATGGTACCACATGACCAGGACTGGCCAGGGAGTTGCAAGCAGAAGTGGTAAGTCTCACTTCTGGACCAGAGCATGTACCTGACCATTGTGATGTTCTCCCGAGTGTTGTTCCTCTCTGCCACCGGGAGCTGTGACAAATAAGCTGGCGGCTGCTCCATCAGCCTGGGTCCCTGCGGGAGGAGACACGGGGAGCAGAGCCTCCAGTTTACCCGAGATGGAGCAAGAAATCAATCCCTGTTGTAAACCACCGAGATTTGGGGGCTGTGTGTCAGCACCGCATAACCCAGCCTGTCCCGACTGGGCTGATGAGCTGCGAGTTTCCCTTTTTTGCTTAAGTGGGTCTGACATGGGTTTGTGTCACTTGCAGTGGGAAGTGTCCTAGCATAATGAGGACTCTCCTCCCAACCTGAGGAAGGACTAACTACATTCAATGGGGCCAGGGGGCCAGGCTCCATCCCTTCTCATGGATGACCTTGGGCAGTCGCCTGCTGTCTCTGAGCCTCAGTTTCCTCTTCGTAAAGTGGGGGGCAGCCATGAGCCTCTCGGCTTGCTGGGAGGACCTCCACATCTGGGTGGAACAGCTCGGCTGGGATGAGACCCACACACAAGAAAGCGGAGCTGGTGTGTTCCTTTAGGCTCCCTGTTGGAGGGGAAGGCTCTTCTCCCTCCCCTGCTTGGGACTTGGTCTGGGGATGGGGCACGTGGGGCACATCCCACCCGCAGCCGCCCGGACGCACCATCAGAAATCCAGGGACGGGAAAGACGGAGCAGCGAGCACATACGTGCACTTGCCTCCCGGGAGCCCCCCGCACCTAGAGAACAGGAGGAAGAAGTACACGTTCTCGACAGGGAGGAGATGCGAGAGGGGTCGCCCGTAGTCAAGAAGCATCAAGCCACGAAAGGAAAACAAGAGGAGTCGGGTCTCCGCTCAGATGTCACCTTCTCAGCAGGACCTCCCCTGGGCCCCTCACTCAAAACTGCAGCACCCCACTGACTTAGTTGTCCCCCGTAACATGTATTAAGCTCTAACCTGTGTCTTTTACTGATTCGTCGTGTTTACTGTCAGTCCCGCTAGCACGGGGGTTTCGTCTGTTTTACTCGCCCTGCGTCGCAGAGCCTGGAATGGTGCCTGGCACATGGCAGGTGCTCAGCAGATGCTGGACGGACGAGCATGTGAAGCAACCAGTTAACGGCAGAGCAGCGGCTGATGAGGCAGTGGGCAGAGAGGACAGAGGGGACTGAGCCCAGGGGGGAGCCACCTGCCCTGGACCTGGAGATACCACAGAACGGGGCAGAGAGACGAAGACGGGGGCCTCCTGGGAAGTCCTTAAACGGAGCAAGAGACCCTCTCCCGTTGCTCACCCCGGGGGGGCAGCGAGGGGTCTTTCCCCCGTCCCTGGGGGGCCACAGATCTGAGAGGTTTTAACATTGGTGGCCTCAGAGAAGAAACCTTCTCATTCTGCAATTTAAGGGGTCTCCTAGAATAGAGCTGGCTGCTCACCCCAAAGCAGCCCCCACCTCTGGCAAGCAGCTTGGGGGGGGGGGCGTTGGGGGCCGCACGGGTGAGCTGGCAACGCCAGCAGATCAACCCACTAGCTGCCAGTCTGCAGAAGCTATTTTCTCTCTCTGTGCCTCAGTTTCTTCAGACACGAAATGGGCGTACTGAGCAGATGCGCTTTGAGGCTGCCGGGAGGCCAGGAGTTGGTCTGCGTCAAGTGCCAAGGACGGTGCTCAGGAAGTATTGTTGCGTGATCATCATTTCTGTGGGCAAGCCAACCCCCTCCCCCCACTACTCCAGCAAGCTTTTCCCGGTTCACCGTGGGACCCGGGAATCGTCGCTGCAGACACCTGGAGGGCAAGACGAACCAGCCGCGAACCGAGCCGCTGCCGCCACCTGCTGGTGACCACAGGAACTTGACTGAAGTGGGAGGGGCAGCGCCAGAGTCTTGTCAGGTGGCTTAGATGGGCGCCCCTACACCATGGTCGCGGCCACACTCTTGCCGTGGGAGTATGGTGATGACCCAAGGTGAACGGACGGGGCTTTTTAATTCCATCAGGGCTGACTTCTGGTTGGGTGGCTGGAGGTGCACAGGGCACTGGATGCTGGGGGTGGTGAGGTGTCACCAAGCAGGGAGATCACACGTGTGCACGCACGCCCACACGTACACACACATACACACACAGACGTGTCAATACGCGGATCCACATCCATGCACAACTGGGAAATCCCTGGCACAAGCGGGTCAGGGGTCCAAGGGAAGGCTGGGTGGTCAGGGGAAGTCAGAGGGCGGAGATCACGCTCAGCCCAGGTCAGAAACGGGGCAGGAGGGGAGCAGGGCCAGCAGCCGGCAGGACATGGTCTGAGAGGACCCCAGACAGGAGGGAGGCGGAGTCTGAGAAGGCAGAGGAGGAGGCTCAATAGGGGGAAACCAGGAAGAGTGGTGCTTACCTTTAGGGAAAGGAGGGAGTAAGTCCAGGGACACGGCTGGGGGAGCCCAGCGAGCTTTATCAATGAGACATTTTATGTAAAAATGGCATCACAGACCCATGTTTTCTAGTGGCGCAGAAAATGTATGTAAATGCAAAGAAAAAGGTCCTAAGGGGAAAGGAGCCTGGAGGCTTGAGTCTTACTGTACTGTTTCAATTAGAGAGAATACATTACCATGTTGCTGATGTAAGTTAAAAGGAGGAAGAACCAAAAGTTGGGGGTGGGGTGGGGACATGAAGGACAGAGCCACGATGTCCAGGCCCTATAGTTCTGGCCTCCTGTGAGCGGCAGGCCAGGGTGAATGGGACGTGTGCCCTCTGGGCTCAGTGTCCCTCCTCACCCTCCCTGCCTTGTTTGGGAGTCCCTTCACATACACTTCAGTTTTCCACAGTCTCTACCACTCCCTAGTATTTATATTTAACACAAGGCTCTCCTTCCTCTCATTTATGGGACCTGCTTGACCCCTGAAGGCATCTGTGCTCAGATCTTCTGGTCTATGCTGTGGTTCCTGAAGCCCTTTGTGCAGAGGTTGGAAGGGGAGAGCTACCTTGGATGGGTGGGTGGGTGGATAGGTGGACAGATGGGGAGGTGGGTAGATGGATGGATGGTGGGTAGATGGGTGGATGGATGGGGAGATGGGTGGATGGATGGATGGATGGTGGGTAGGTGGGTGGATGGATGGGTAGATGGATGGGTGGGGAAATGGGTGGATAGATGGATGGATGGGTAGTGGGTGGATGGATGGGTGGGGGGTGGATGGGTGTGTGGTGGGGGGGTGGATGGACAGACAGACATGGACAGATGCACAGGTGGGCAGAAGGAGGGAGAGAACAGGTCATCCTTGCACAGAATGGCTGGCTGTGGAATGTGGAGCCTGGTCATAGAAGCCCATCTCTCCACTGAAGGGCTGCACCCCTCATCCCTATGTCCCATCTCCCAAACACAGGCCCAAACCATCCCTCAGGTACGGGGACAGAATGGGAGATAAACTTTGCTGAGCCCTACTATTTGCTTGTACTTGGTGCCCTTCAGTGCCTCTGGTCTTCGCAGGAAGAAGTCAGTCCATCCCCATTTTTCAGATGAGAAAAGCAAGGCTCTGAGATGGGAGTATCGAGACTCGGTGCCCATAGCACCACCTGTCTCCCGCCACACAGGGTGTTCCCAAACAACTGGCATTTGTAAAGTATTTTCTGTTCATAAAGCAGATAACACTCTTTTTTCTACTTGATCTCAAAAAAATCTCCCCACTTTTTTTTTTAATACTTGAGTAAAAATGAGAGAAAAAAAAGTGACGGTTAAGACTTGGCCAGGTCTTGGGGGCACCTGGGTGGCTCAGTCGTTAAGCGTCTGCCTTCAGCAGCTCAGGTCATGATCCCAGGGTCCTGGGATCGAGCCCCGCATCGGGCTCCCTGCTCAGCGGGAAGCCTGCTTCTCCCTCTCCCGCTCCCCCTGCTGTGTTCCCTCTCTCGCTGTGTCTCTCTCTGTCAAATAAATAAATAAATAATCTTTAAAAGAAAAAAAAAAAAAAAGACTTGGCCAGGTCTTGTCTGTGCTGGGGTTCACCCTTAGACTCCCCGCTCCGCGCTCCATCCTGCCCCTCATCACCCCAGAGTCTGGTCCCAAGACGGAAACACGGGGCCCTGAGTTGGGCCAGGCCAGGAGCTGCAGGTCAAACATGCCCAGATGGGCTGCTTTTGTAAGGCTGAGAAGCTGGCAGGTGCAAGGCTGGGCCTGGGGCTGGGGCAGTGCTGCCTGGGGGGCCCGTCCCCACTCCCACACTCCCCACTGCCCTATGCGCTGTCGCTGTCGCTCTCCAGTTTTCCACAAGATAGAAGTCTGGATTTTTTAAAAATGTGAAATGTCCCATTTTTAAAAAAAATGTTGGCAGCTCATATACACATACAAAAGAAAGAGGAGGAAAAAGAAAAAAGAAAGAGAGGGAGGGAGAGAAAGGGAGGGAGGGAAGAAAAAGGGAAGGGGGGGGAGATGGGAGGGAAGGGCTGAAGAGAACGCCCACTGCCCAAACCCAGGCCATAGCCTGTGACCCCTGCAACCGGCCGGCCTGGCCCTGGGCCACCCTGCATGGCACAGCTGCCCGAGCGTCTCCGGGTAGACAGAGGCCTGGGCCCGGCTGAGGAGGAGGAAGGGCTCTGGAACAGGGGCAGGAGGGCTGGGCCGACCAGGGGCAAGTCAAGGCCGCAGCGCCTCCCTCCCCCTTTGGTTTAAGTGGGAGCCTCTATTCCTGGCAGTTCTGCAGGTGAAAGCAGGAAGGCCCCCAGAGGAACAGAGATTCTTTAGGAAACACAGAAACCTAAATGCATTTTCCTTCACTTTAATTACAAAATAAATAAATACATGCCAAGGGGTTTTTTTTAAAGAGAAAAGAAGGGAAAAGAACAAACCAACTGTAGGCCCGCTCAGCTCCTCGGCTCCAGCTGCGGGAAAGGCGCCCCCCACCCCCACCCCCCGGAGGCCCGCCGGTTGTCTTGTGGGACCAACAAGGGGGCCCCAGGCTCAGGGTCCGATGTCCTGCCTGGAGAGGGGTCAGTCCCTGCTGGGGCCCTGGGTGGCAGGACACACAGCCCGTTCTGTGACGCGCCCCCCACGAGGCCCTGCCACTTGGGGCACTTGGCCTTTCTGCCATGGTGGCTGGAATCTGCAACGAGGGCTGTGAGCAAGGCCAGCTCCTGACCCTCACTGGCCAAAGGATGACGCCGCCGAGGTCCATACGGAAGGTGGAAGGCACGGGGGCCCGGGCCGGCAGCTCCGCTCCCTAACGGTGGAGGCCCTTGGAGGCCAAGCCCACCAGGGCCTCTCAGACTCACCACAACCCAAGTTCCGCAGAGAAAGCAGGCAGCGACGGAGTGCAGGATCCGTGCCTGCAGCCACGGCTAACACGCCCTGGGAACGAGAGAGGGACAGCAGGGACCCAAGCCTCCTGGTAGCTGCTCCCTGACAACGCCCGGCGGGACGGAGCAGGGCCCTCCGTCCAGGAAGCCCCCCGGAGCAGGCGGGCGGGAGGCCCTCTTCCGAGTTCCGGGCCCGAGGCTTGGCACAGACCTGTCCCTGTGCCCCGGGCAGGGTGCGGCGCACGCGGGGGCCAGGTGGAGCCCCCCCCAGGGAGTCACGCCCTCCTCAGGCACCAGTGGCAGGGAGGGGGGGTCGTGGTGACCGCACGTGCCTCATAAGTGGACCCACTTGTTCCAGTTGACCTCGTGGGGGAACACGCGGCCCAACCGCAGGGTGCAGTCCAGCGTGGGCTCGTAGAACACAGTGGGGCTCTCGCTCGGGCTGGAGGGCGCCTGGACCTCCGGGACCTGGGGCTTGGAGAAGAGCGAGACGGCCGCCGGCTTCCTCAGCAAGCACTTCTTAATGCAGCCCAGGGATTCCAGGCCCTAGAGACAGCGGGACACCTAGGGTGACGGGCGCACTTGCAGACCGGGTCTTCCATCCCACCCTGGGAGCTGCAGGACCCCAGGGCAGGGGTGGGGGCCGCAGGGGCCCAGGGAAGACAGGCGAGGGGCTCATGGGCCGGCCTGGCGGCCTCGGAGGGCAGCGAGAACACCTCTCTGGGCAGGGCTGAGCAGGGGGGTAAAGTAAGTAAGGGACCCACGCGAGCGGCCTGGCTCTCAGGCCGAACCTAGAATCTCCTGACGGGCCACCCCGCTGGGAGGCTGAAGCAGGGGCCCAGGAGGAGGGAGCAGTGGTCAGCAGGGAGCTGCGGGGAGGCCTGGCCAGCCCAGCCCGGCCGCACCTGCAGCAGCTCGAGCACGGCGATGGGCTGCAGGACGCCCTGGTAGTGCTGCAGCAGGCGGCTCTCGGGGATGCCGGGCCGGGTCATGATGTGGTAGAGCACGGCCTCCATCATGCCCTTGCACACCGGCACGTTCAGGTGGCCGTCCACGATGCGCCACGGGCGGGCGATGAAGGAGATGTTCTCGCAGTCCCTGCAGCGGAGACACGCAGGCGTCAGGCTCGGTGGGTGAGGGGACACGGTTCCACCGACGGGACGCTGAGGCTCAGGGCGGTCGGCGCCTGGCCTGCGTCACGGGGCCGGGGGTCCTGCTCCTCCACACCCCCCTGCCCATCTGGAATGAGGAGTCCCTACCCCAGGGCCCGGGTCGCCAGCTGAAGGGACCCGCTCACACTCAGCCTTAACCGAGGCCGTGACGTGCCCATGTCCCCCACAGGGCCCCGCGCTGGCAGACGAGGGAGACGAGCTGACCTCTGGATGCACCAGCTCCATCCTGGCCCCAGGGGCAACGGCCGACTCCACATCAGGCTAGAGCTCACAGAGGTCTTTATGCAGAAGACCTACTTCTGTGTCTTAGCAGTCCCCCGTTGCCCCAGTGACTGGTCTGCCACACGGGGTCCAGGCATGGGAGGGGCCCAGGGCCAGCTGGACACCTGGCTCTGACCGCCATGACCGGGAGCGCTGCATCGGAGCCGGGGGCTCACGGCCCCAGCACACGTGTGGGAGGTGCCCCCTCACCAGGAAGGCTCCCGTGAAGCCCATGGTTCCAGACGGACCCACGCACTGCCCAAGTCTACACCTCTGGCCCTCACCCGCTCCCCATAAGCAGCTCCTGCCCTGTTTCCCCAGCAAGTGGGACGACCAAAGACCAACACATTTCCAGGTCCCCTGGCCGAGAACTACTGCGCCGGACTGTGGAAGATCTCCATGTGATGATCACTACTGGGACCCCGGGGACAGACTCCCCACCCTCGCACCCGCACCCCGCACCAGGCCGCCTGGATCTGGGCACACACTCACTTTTCCCGTGCTGCTTGGGAGAGGCTGCTGGCCACAGAACTCTCGGCCAAACCTGACAGAAGAGGGAGAGGACATGAGACCTAAGAGGCAGGAGTCCATCTCTTCCTCTTCTGTTCATGCGACACGTCCTTTCGGGCTCTGGGGATAAAGCCGCGAACAGAGGGACAGCAAGCCCAGTCCTCACAGAGCCCTCGCACCCCGAGAAGCAAACTGGGCTGGGCCGCAGTGTGCAAGTGTGTGTGTGTGTGGGGGGGGTGTTCAGGGCCCTGAGGAACCCCCACGAAGGGAGGCAAGTGAGCACCTCATCTTCCACCCAGAAGCCCCGACCACAGAGCCGTGTGCATAACCCCCTAAGGCAAAAACAGCCCCAAGGAAACAAAGACGCCTTCAGAAAGCACACAAAGAGGCCAGCGTTGAACACAGGTGAGAGCATCTACCCCGCAGGAGGGGAACCCGGCAGGTTTCCATCCCTGCATGTCTGCCAATCCCAACAGGAGGCGCGACGCCCCCCGTTCCTGCCACTGCGCCCTCACGCGGGACATCTCAGCCAAAAAGGCCTTCCAGAACCACCTTCGTGTCCCACACTGGTCATTCACAGACCTGCTTAGGAGCCCCTGAAGCCCTCTAGTGGGAACAGGCAAGACCTTTCCCCCTCAACGCTGAGGCTAGGAAAAGCTGGGGTTCCCCGTCTCAGGGCAGGTGTGGGGTGTGGGGGACACTCAGCCCAGGACAGGTGATGGGCAGGTGGGGGAAGGTGGGGTGGGGGACCAGGTTTGTTCGGTACCTCTGGGGTCTTCAGATCCTTCTGGAAGCTGGGCCTGACAGCTCAGCTGCTCCTCCTGGTCCTCCTGCCCGGCCTCCGGTGCTCCTGGGGGAGGCTCCTTCACACCTGTGTCTCCGGGAACTGGTGGCAGAGCAGGTGCCGGGGGCTCTAGCTCTTCTTCTGCTCTGGGCCTGGGGCTGGGGGCCCAGCGCACATCCTGGAGCGTGGGCCTCTTGGCGGGGGGCTTCTGGGTACTCTCGGGGTCCGTCTCCCTGCCCTGATAGGCCATGTGACTGCTCGTCCAGCTAGCACGCCTCTTGGTGCTCCGGGGGCCCTGGGAGGGCGGTGCCTGCCTCCCCGAGGGGCTGTCCTCACTGGCAGGCCCGTCTCGGGGTCTGGCCTGGGGGTCTTCTCTTTGAGGGTACGCATCCTCCTCTCTGCCTTTCAGCCGCACCGAGTGCAGGAGCCAGGGCTGGGCAGAGGCCATGGCCACCAGGCGAGTGGTGTTGCCACCGACTTCCAGGACCTGGTGGTGCTCCAGGAGGTCCTAGGAAAAGCGGGAGACACACGGGTCTGTGCGGGATCCTCACGCCTGCTTCCCTTGCTCGGTGCATCTGAGCGTCCCGAGCAAATGGCAAGCCCAGCTCCATCAGGACAGACTGACTCGAGGGCGAGGTCTGGCTTCCAGCCCAAGGCAGGCGCCAGCTGGCCATGCGGCCCCAGGGCAGCCCTTTCCCCCTCTAGGCTTGGGGCAAACTTCTTAGAACCGAAGCTGCCGTGAAAGCGTCCTCCCAGGAAACTCAACACCCCGAGTGCTATCAAGTTCCACAAAAGCCATGATTGTTCCCACACGAATGACAGTAACTCCTCTCGTCCTTATACCAAGCCCTGCTTGCAAGGTCCCTGTTCTGATGGAGACACTGCACCCGACGCTATTGTCTTTCTTTTCATTCCTAGCTTAAAAACCCACAAGTCAGGATTCAAGAAATTTGCCCCAGTTCACATCCTGGAACCAGGACTCATAGCCAGGTCACGCAGGTCTGGGGAGGGTTTGCTGTAAGCCCTTGTCACCTGGGCCACAGGGAGCATGGATCATATGAACAAGGAGACACCACGTGAACAGTCGTATGACCCTGCTCTCATGTCCTGCACTCACAAACACCTGCTTCCAACTACAGACCAGGCACATCGGGGCCAGACAAGTCCCAAGGCACTCGATTTAAAAGGTCCATCTGTTAATACGTTCCTTGGGTTCAAGGGTTCCTGATGAAAATGGACCCAGGCAGGTACAGCGGGGAGTCCTGTGGGGCCAGGTGCAGGATATCCAGGAGCTGTGGGCCCAGCAGAGATGGCTCTACTTGGCTCTGTCCCACTGTGCTGAAGAGACGGGACCCAAGGTGCCCAACCTCTAACATTCCAGAGAAGCTGGGTTTTAGGCAAAATCTCCCATTTCTAATCTTGGCGACTAATTTAATCTTTGAAAAAATTACACTACGTGCCCCAAGTCGAGCCCCTCCTCCGAGGCGTGCATCTGGCCGGTGAGCGGTACCTTCTGCGTCGGCTACCCCACATTACTTGAGAGCACGGCTCACCTGGATATAGTCTGCGAAGGTCCTGGTGCGCTCGGCGTCTGTCCGCTCAAAGGCAGAGAACCATCTGCTCAGCTCCACTCTGTCCACCCCAAAGCACCCTGTGGCTGCAATGACCCCGTGGACCTCCAAGACGGCACACACATCTCCCGGCTCATACCCGCACAGCTCCACCTGGTGGACAAACTCCTCCAGGCTGCAGGTGGCCCCCTGGCTCTTGATCAGCCTGGTGAAGCTGTCAGGGAGGCAGGATATGCCCACGGGTAGCTCTTCCAGAGAAGGGACTGTGAAGATGAGGAGAACCCGAATCAGCCCAGCCCAGGGCCCCAACACCAACTCACCACCCCCCAAATAGGGAGGGGACACCTTCTGGGTGGACGGAGCACGGGCCCGGCGGTCGGGATGCACCCCCGGGGCCAGGATGAAGGGCAGGAAGGTAGGGCTGGGGTCTGAGGACAGCAGCCCCGGAGCTCTGGAGGAGTTCCTCAACTTGGGCTGCCCTGGGCCCTGCCTTCCTGGTGCTCCTGTGTTCACCGCTCCTCAGACCCTGGGGGACATCCCGGGACCCCTCCCTGAACTCCCACGTGAGCTTCCACGAGCCGGGGCTGCTGTGCATGGCTTCCTGGAAAAGCTGGTTCTGCCAAGACCACGGTCACAGGTTTGGCCCGAGCCAAACTCCAGACAGAGCACAGAACACCAACTGGGGTTTCGAAACTGAAAGTGAACACCATGCACCCCGATAGGTGAAGGGGAGGCAAGAAAGGGGTGGGAAGGGGCCCAAATATTCTCATTTTACGTAGAGGAAGAAGAGACTGCCTCAAATTCAGGGTATGGGAAAGCAAGGTTTAAGTAAGCTATTTAAAGTTTCAGAGGTAACGCACAGAGGACTAAAGAGAGTGTAAAAATTGGAAGCAACGGAGATATAGATGATGAATGTAAGCCGAGGACTCCTCTTTCAAAGCAAGAGATCGAAAGCAATACTTCAGATGTCTGTGGAAGTGTGTACTTCCGAGCCCCGGAGGGAACCAGCAGCAGTGAGCAGGCCAGCACCCCGTGTCGGCGGGCAAACACTCACCGGTGGGCCAGAGCCGGGTGGGCGCGGGGGTGCGGCGCAGGCGGAACGTCACCTGGCAGGAGTTCACCACGATGCTGTCGTTGGGGTTGAGGTTGCGGGTGCTGACGATGCCGGGCGCGCAATAGCCCCGCATCAGCAGGTAGTTGGTGTGGGAGGCCTGGCGGGCTTTCACCTCGATGGCCCGGCGCTTGCTCCCCGAGCCATCGTCCAAGTCTTCCTCCTCGTCGTCATCCTCGTCCAAGCCCCCGTCCTTCCCCAGACTAGGAGAAGAACACGGACCTGGGTGACAGAGCGCAGGCCCAGCGTGTCTGCTGGCCCAGCCGGCCCTGCGGCGGCGGAGGGCCGGCTCCCTCACACAGTGACCCCCTCAGAGGGGCTGCCGTGCTCCGGCCTCAGCAATGGCCTGTGGTCGCTACAGACCCCCTCCCGCTCCCCCAGGCATCTGGCTGTGAAGGGCAGCGCTGCCGCTCCAGATTCATCCCCTCTGACCACCTCCCCACATGCCGCGCTCACCCCCGTTCACATACCAGTGCCTTTGCAAGGGCTCTTCCTGCTGCTGGAAACCCTTCCAGTTTCTGTCCCTAAACTGCCTGCTTTTCCACTAAATCCCAGCTTAGCTATTAGGCCCTCAAGGACCCCTGCCAGAGCCACACCTCAACAGGTCCCTCTCTTTGGCACAGCCAAGCCCACCCCCCCGCACCTGGAGGCACCAGCACGAGGCAGTGGACTAGACACAGTGCTGAAGTCCCTAGTCCCTAGTCCCCAGATCTGAGGTCCCGTCCCGGGGAGCTCCCTGCCGCCCTGCTGACATCTGCCATCTCATGTGCCAAATGCCACACAGGGCTAGACATGACACGCACAGACTCAGCATGTGTTGGTGGAATGCATAAAGACCAGGAGGGACGCCTGGGTGGCTCCGTCGGTTAAGCGTCTGCCTTCGGCTCAGGTCATGATCTCAGGGTCCTGGGATCGAGCCCTGCATCGGGCTCCCTGCTCAGGGGGTGTCTGCTTCTCCCTCTGCCTCTCCCCCTGCTTGTGTGCGTGTGCACACACTCTCTCTCTCAAATAAATAAATAAAAGCTTAAAAAATAGAAGACCACATGATGGAGCAAATAAAACCGCGGACACCACAGGACACCACAGTGCATGAGGCCCCCCGGTGCACTCAGAGCAGCATGTTAGGGCATGCTGACACCTCCTTCCTTACCTCTTCATGACCTCATTCTCCACCATGGAGCTGTCCACCACGACAATCTGCTCCGGGATCCGGACATCCACGGAAATGAGGCCCAAAGAGAAAAGGGTCAGGGCGGCCACGCAGTGCCCTCCAGGGCTGTCCAGAGAAAATGCCACCAGGTGGCTTGTAGACTTGTGATTATCCTGGTCTTTGAAGGAAAAATTATCGGGCTGGTCCAACTTGCCGGCAGCCAGGATTGTGCTGAAGAACTGGAACGATTCCGTGCAGACAGTGCTTGGAAATCGCCATGTAAAAATCCTGCATGGACAAAAAGGAGGTAAGGTCCAAACTGAGGACGCGGTGCTGGAGGCCTCCATGTGGATGGGCTACGGGCCCTTAAGATCTTTGCGTTCAAAACTGACCACACCAGCTTCCCCCCCACCCGCCCAAAACCCTCTTTTCTACCTCGAATGAAGGTGCCACGTTTCAAGCTAACTGCCTGTGCCTTCCCTGCTCACCTGAGCACCTTCCCGGTGGGCCATGTCTTTGCATCTAACCTAATACTCTACGCCTCGCAGGCATTCGCTATAAACAGGCGCCAAACTGGGGAAGGCGAATGCACTTCTTGTGACAATCATCTTTACCCCAGGCAAACCCCGACCCGTGCAGAGACGACAGGACACGTGTGTCCATGTCACTGTCTCCATGAGGCGACCGCAGAGTCAAGCCCTGGCCTCTGTTCAAAAGCGTGCCTTCCCACAACCCTGTAACGGGGACCTAGGTCCCAGGGAGGGACCCAGAAGGTCTTCCGGATGCGAACGCCGCCCCTTGGCTCACAGACAAGAATGCCGCAGTGCAGAAATGGTCAAGAAGTAGCTCAGCATCCCAGACCACCGCTCGGACGGCTGAGGGGCTACAGACCGCATCTGGAAGATATGGGATGGCTTCAAACTGAACACACAGCTCGGTGCAGCTCTGAGCCGTGAGAACGGCCAATGAGGCCCGACCAGGATGCCGTGCCTTTCACTGGGCTCATGAGTACCTTAGAAACTCATTTCTCATTTAAGATTTTTCTAGAAGCTGCACGCCCTCCGAGGAAGATGGACACCCTGCTCCTTCCGCTCCCACGCGCTGCTCTTTGCAGAGAAGGTGTGGCGCGGCCTCTGACACGGGCCCTGCCTTGCCCCAGCCCCAGCTGGAGGGCTCACCTGTAGTAGGTCTGGGACAGCTGGTAGGACATGGGCACGAAGGGCAGAGCCCGGTTCTTCTTGGGGCCCAGCATGTGGTTGACGCGGCGCCGGTTGACCAAGCTCCTTTTCTGGCACTCCATGAAGGCCTTCACGAGGATGTGGTCCTTATACTCTCGGTACAGGCGGAAAGTCTGCAACACAGCAAGGCCGTGGGTGAGCGAGGCTCTCCAGCAGCTAGGGGGAGAGGAGCAGGGCGCAGGGGTGCACAGAAGCGGGAGCCCATCACGTGTGCCGGAGGGACTGAGACGGGGCCGAGGGGCTGGGAGGCTGGAGCAGACTCCTGGGGGTGCGGGGCGGGAGAGCCTGCAGGAAGCTAGCAATCCGATGACAACTTTCACCGCTATCAGAGAGAGGGACACCCCAGAGGACAGGCAGCTGGGACAAAGGACAGCTCTGCACCCCACGGCTATGTCTTAGGATACAAGGTCATGGGAGTCAACGCAGAACCACCTCTGATACCCCTCGCTTCCCCAGCCTTCGCCCAGCCCATCAGTAGATCCGGTTGGCTGTGCCCCCATAAACCATTCCCAAACACAAGGGCTTGACGCCGTCTACACCATCGCTCCTCAGCCTCTGCCTAAGTGCTCTCCCTGCCTCCGCCTGTGCCGCCTGCCCCCAGCCCCTGGCCATCTGCCACGCAGCCCCAGCGAGCCCCGTGTGCCTCCACCAGACCACACGCGGCTTCCCTCTGCAGGGCCAACACCCAGTCCTCACTACACCTGACAAGGACTCCCGGGACTGCGACCCTGCCCACCGCTCCGGGCTCCCCGGCCTTCCTACTTTCCCTCAAAGAGCCTTCCCACTGTGGGAGCCTGGCCTTTGCAGCTCCCATTTCTTGGACAGCATCTTCCCCCCTCAATTTTTGCAAGGCTGACTCCTCAACACCCAGCTTTCAGCTCAAATATGTCCCCTCAAGAAGCAAAGCCTTCTCCCTCTTGCTCCTCTGCAGCCAACTGTATTATAGGAACCTATTTTATTTTCTCCGTAGCAACGCTCTCCACCTGAAATGTCCTCATTCGCTTACTCGTTCTCTCTCTCCTCCACCAGAAAGAAGTCCCACAGAAGCACAGATTCAGTGGTCTGCTGCTGCCACGGCAGCGCCTGGCACCGGGTGCCCAGCACGGGGCAAATGTGGCTCCTGCCGGCCACGCCATCCCGGCTCCGTGGCTCAGATTCGGACCGGCCCAGAGGAAGAGCAGCTCCAAGGCCGGCAGGGCCAGGAGAGTCCCAGTGACTCCCGTTCCTGAAAAGCACTGGCTCACCCAGCCGACCTAAGGCGAGTGTCCAGCATATGCCAGACCACAGGAAAGTCCCTGCCAGACCCGTCTCCTCAAAAGCACTGGCCAGGCAAACGTGTCATGGCCTGAGAATTTTAGGCTTGGGAGGTTCTCTGCTACGTTGGCCCCGGATCCACGAGAGGCAGAGAAGATGGAGGCTCGTGGACTTCAAGGGATCCTCTGAGGCCACACCGCTGGGCAGGCCTGGGACCAAGAACAGAACAAGGCCTTGTCCTCGAGCCCAGCGACCTCACCACTGCAGAAGGACAGGGGATCAGGAGCCAAAGTGGTGGTCAGATGGGGTGCTGGAGCAGCACGGGGTGTTCTCCTGGAACCGGAGAGGGGTCTGCGCACACACTGGGCCTTGTCAGTCTTGAGGCCCGCACACCACCCTTGATTTCTCTGGACAGAGCTTCCACGTCAGCCGTGGAGCACAGGCTCGAGGGGGGGAGCACCGCACAGGGAAGAGGGCAAGGGGCTGGAGAGTGGCCAGGAAACCACGGTTCCTGCCCACTGGGCGAGTGCAAGCTGGGATGCAGCTTCTCCTGGAAAGCCTGGTGTCCTCAGCTCTTCTCCGTATGAAGACGACGACAAGGGGGGGCATATCCCTCCAACAGCTGCTGGGGTGGCGCAAGAGCACGTATAGGGAGGGAGGGAGTGTGGCCCAGCCCACCAGACTTCCACCCACTGCCCTGCACTGCGCCTCCCAGAAACCTGGGGCTGCAGGGAGCCAAGTGGGATCCTACACATGGCCCCTGGCCTTGTCCCTGCCGGCCTTCCAGTACTCGGTGCCAGGTGCGAGGGTCACGAAAGCAGCGCCCTGCCTCCTGCGGTGGCCCAGGTGCTCTCACGCAATTTCCCACGCCCCTGGGGGTCAAGGAGAGGGACGAGAGCCTGGACACCACCTGGAAACGGAACCAGAGGAATGACAAGCAGCAGCATGATGCAGGGGACAGGCCCCGGCTGGGACGCAGGGACCTGGCTTTTGCCATTAACTTTGGGGCTGGGCTTTTTCATGGGATGGGCAGTTGGACTAACTCCCGAGGTCCTGTCCTGCTCGAATCCCTTCTGGGCAGCACAGCCAAGAGATTCCTCCATAGCCATAGGTGAAGTCGGAAATTGGGATTTTTATGGGCAATGTCAGTAGTAAATTTAAACAATTTTTTTTTCTTTTTAAACAAGCTCGGGTCCAATAAGACAGAGCCAGGGGCCAGACTGGGGGCTGTCTCTGTGGGACTTCTGCCCCACCCCACCCTATTCCAGTCTTGTTCTCTGGCATGTTCCGGCTCACACGAGGCTTTCGGCACAGAGGAGGGGGCAACGCCCCACGACCAGCCTCCCACTTGGAAACACACACACTTCATGTGAGTAAGCAGGGTTCAAGGGCTCTGTGGCACCAAGGATAGCAAGAACGGGATGACTGGGGACCCTCCTACTAGACTGTCCCAGATGACTGCTGGACAAGCAACTGCACCTCATGGTGACGAATTCAAAGAAGAGACATGAACACTCAGTCTTGGATCTGCGAGGGCCTGGCCATTGCTGTACAAGGATTGTGGTCACACCTGGCCACGGGTTTTCCCTCAATCACTCCATTTCCCCCAATCTCCCTCACCTCCCTTGCGGCCAAAGTAACAAGCACCACCTGGAGAATGTGGGCAGTGCCCCAGCTGGGTCTGCACCCCGCTGTCTACACCCTGCGTCAGAGTCCTGGGGACCAGCAGCATTCCTGTCAGGCCTCTGGGGGTGGGGGGCCCGGGGCCCACGTGCTGACCGGTGTGGTCATTAAGAACAAGGGAGGCACGGCTCCGGTGAGGGGGCAGCACAGGCCCTCCTCCGCACCTCCCTGCTGGGGCCCTGGAGCCACAGTCTCAGGTCTGACAGAGAGTGTTGTGAGATCTCGGGCACTTGCTTCTTCACGCCTCTGAAACTCAAGTCTCCGTGTTCACAAACGAGTGCTAAGCCCAGCACCTCCCCAGGCTCAGGATGGGGTCCACTGAGAACCGCCTTCTTCCCTCCCCACCTCACTCAGCCAGGACAGAGCAGCATTACGTTCCCAGGAGAGAGATAAGCCCACAGAAAGGCCGCTTTCCCGCTCGGGGACCCCTGGCCAGCTCGCCATTTCTGAATTCTGCTTGGAGAAGAGAAGCTGCACAGGTCAGTCGCTCCCTCAGCTCTCTGTCGTGGCTCGCTTCCTCTTCACCCTCATTTTCTGCATTAACATTCGACTCAAAACCTCAGCCCGGGAGGGATTTTGGAAGTCACTGGATCCTGTCCCCACACTTGGAAGATGAAAGAAGGGGGCACAGGAGTCTCAGGGGAAATCGGGGCCCCCCCGAGACTGTACAGCTGAGAAGAGAATGAGCGAGGGCCTCACTCAGCTCCCACCTCTGACGGCCTGCGCCCCACAGCGCGGCCGCGAAGCTGTCGCCAGGTCCCTGCCACCCACCTGAAATGACCGGCAGGACTCCATTTGGCTGTCCGAGAGGGCCAGCGTGCTCTGGACCAGGTTTTGGAGCACCAGGAAGTGGATGTCATCCATGCTGAAAGACAGTGGGCAGGAGGGCACAGCACATGAGGCTGTGGGCCATGGGCACCGCTCAGTCTGGGTGCGTGCAGTTTTTATTTAGAAAAAGGGATCCCACAAAAGTGACCCAAATGCCAAAACTATTCATAAACCAAAACAAAACAAGTGGTGGTTTTTAAGCCTTACTAACTGGTCAATTTTTACAGGGAGAAACGTTTCCACTTAGTGGGTAAGGGGTGCCGTACCCTGGAAACGGGTTTACGTGACAACTGACAAATGCAGTTAGCACTGAGATATTTTCAGCCTATCTATGAAATCAAAAATTGCATGCCCTACCTACCTACCTACCTATCAGATCAAGAGTTGATGCTCTACTGACTGACCCAGCCATGTGCTCTAATCTTAAACAACTTGCGATTTCTTATATTTTCCTCTAATCTTAAACAACTTTTTCCTCCAAAGAAGCTTCTCACTGAAATACAGAGCTAAAATCAAACTGAATATTGTTTTCCAACATGGAAAAAAACCAGGTTTTCTAACCAGAGCTTTGTGTGGAAAGCTCATGGGCCTGGAATTCAAATCCCTTCCTCAACCCACCTTGAGGCTAGGCCACTGATTCATGAGGCTAGGGTCGGCAAGTTTCTCCTGGAAAGGGCTGGGTAATAAAGATTTCGGGGTCTCTGTCATAGCCACTCAACCCTGATGCTACAGGATAGAAGCGGCAGACAGCACATGGGCCAGGCGTGGCTATGTTCTAACACAACTTTATTTTCAAAGACGGGGGGCAGGCTAGATATGACCCTGGGTGTCCCCGGTTGGGCCACCGGCAGCCCAATCGAGCGGCTGAGGGAAAGGCACTTGGTCAATAGGTGCTTACGTATTCAGTTCATCCTCTTTCCTCGTTGGATCCTTTTCATCTCCAATCGCCAAAACTCGGTATCTGCATAAGGAACGGGACATGAGTGTGTCAGTGGAACACGGCTGACCTTCACTAACCGAGCGGAGGCTTACTCAACATGCCATTTACTGGCTGAAGTGTTGGAGGAAATATAAAACTCATTAATTAAAATTCAAACACGTACGTGTCAGTTACAATGAGAACATACCACGTTCTGCTCCCCAAATGAGCGTGTTGTTAAAATGAGGGTTGAGGAAATGAGGAATGTTCATTTCCCTGACAATTATCAAACAACACAGGAAAGTGTTTAATGGCAGAAAGCCACTGTTAATTGTTAAGGGAAAGGGATCTAAAATCATGGGCCCATTATGATTACAAACAAGCATAAGAAAGACGCCTGGAACAAAATACCCAAAAAAGAGAGTAGTTGTATTAGGTAGCAGATTATTTCCCCATCTGTGTTTTTGAGCTTCAAGTAATGCTGCTTCCTTGTGTTCCTACCAAGCAAATAAATACAAGAAGAGAAGTCCAATGTGCTAGCCTTCACACTACACAGCCAGGCAAAGAAATATAAGAAATCGCAAAACTCACTTTTTAAGAAACATGGCTGTTTCTCTGTAAGACTTTTCTTTGGTTTCTATGATCCTAAAGTCAAAATTCATCCTGGCAACAGTAAATTCTTGAAATTTAGTAATAAGAAGGAGTACCTTTTCAGAAATTGGACTATTTTCAAAGTTGTTGGATCCATTTCCTTTTTTGCCTGGCCTGCCAGGATGCTCAAGATCAAATTTAGTGTTAAAACGGTTACAACTGGATGAGACTTCTTTTCTCCAAATGGTTCATGAACTCTCCTTTAAAATAATCTTTAACTGTATTCTTCTTTTTCTTTTTTAAAAGATTTTATTTATTTATTTGACAGAGAGAGACAGCAAGAGAGGGAACACAAGCAGGGGGAGTGGGGGAGGGAGAAGCAGGCTTCCCGCCGAGCAGGGAGCCCGATGCAGGGCTCGATCCCAGGACCCTGGGATCATGACCTGAGCTGAAGGCAGACACTTAACGACTGAGCCACCCAGGCGCCCCTTAACTGTATTTTTCTATAACTAAAAGTTGCCCCCCATATATTTACTGAAAATAGGTGGGGTTATAAATTACAAATAGGTAAACGGGTCATTTGAAGCACTTTTAAAATTGAATATAAACCTTGCCATTTGGGAGTTCTGGGGAACAGTTTGCTGCAAAAAGAAACACAAAACACAGTAACAGGTGTCAACTCCGCAAAGGACTACAAATCGCTCCCTAGGCCTGGCATACGCGGGCACGACGTGAATTACTTGTTGGTTGAATCAAAGAACGAGATCTCCAAATGACGTTCAGGGGGCTAGCTACAACCGTATCATACGGTTCCCAAATAGGAAAGGATCGATGACTGTCACCTCTATAGGAAGAGATTCAGAAAACATCCAGTGGCCAGAGGGACCGTCTCAATGAGGGTGGTTAAGAAGGAACTCACATTTGGATTAAGCAGTGGAAACAGGCCTGGTTTACAGAACCCTAGATTCTAACATTTCACGGGTTCTATGCTCAAAGCCAAGTATGTTCTCTGCAGGTGCCCACTGGTTGAGCTGGAAAGGGCTGGGACGTTGGAGTCAGACCCAATGTGGAAGTTCAGGTCCTGGCCCTGTGGCTCACAAGCACCGTGGCCTTGGGTGAGCTACTTCTAGCTTGGTTTCCACATATGTCAAACGAGCAATCTTGGCAAAAGCATACTAACCACTTGCGGAGGCCTGGATTGGGTCAGCAGCAGGGCCTCCACGGCAGAAGGAACGGGGACACCCGGTGGGGTGCTACGGATGGCAGGGATCTCCCATTTTCAAGTTGCCCATGAGAGGAGGCGAGGTGGTTGAGTCAAGGACACAGCAGGGTTAGCTGCGAGGCCATGGAAGTGCTGACCAAGGGAAAGGCCTGTGGCCAGGCATGACGTTTCCTCTTGCCCCACAAGGATCACACAGAAACTTCCCCGAAGAACCTCACCTGGCAAACAGCTCCTGGAGCGTGTCTGGGATTTCAAGGTTAGGATTCTTTAGAGCCGAACTGAACTTCTCTTTGAGCTTCTCCACAAATTCTTTAAACTCATTGGCACAAACCTTTCAACGTGGGAGAACGAGACGTTAAGCCCTTTCTCGCCCCGAAGGGAGGTTTTGCTGACACATCAAGGAAAATCTCACAACAAACTCCCAGAGCAGCGACCTCCCAGAACTGACGAGCTGATCTCCCAGACGCTCAGGAACAACGTCCGTATTTGCAAAGCCAGCAGAGGTGCTGTGGGACCCGGAGGACCAGACAGGAACCTACACCCCCCTGCCTTCAGGGCAGGCCGAGCCCAATGACCACACAGGGCCTACCTTTGGGTCTTCGTAATCACATTTTCGATTCATGAAATCTCCAACAAGTGCCTTGTCCTGGTACACCTCAGCGAGGCAAACCCTGCAGGAAGAGAGGACAAACGTGAAGTCTGGCATTGTAATAATGTCTGTGTTCAGAACCATCGGGAAAGGCTCCTGTTCTAACACGTCTGGCGTTGGCTAACTACAAGGTATGATTTACTTATACATCTGCTGGGTGACCACAGCTCTTAACAAGGAAGGATTTGGGGTCAACCAACCCTGATTCAAGTCAGGCCTGCTGTTGCTCAGGCTTCACTCCTTTGGCTTCTCTGAGCTTCCATCCGCCACACGTAAACTGAGAACAGCGACTCCCGCCTGCCTGCCCTCACAGGCATCTGGCCAGGACCAAACAAGATGCGCTATGTGCAAGTGTACTGTAAATTTTACACTATCCTCCAGGCCCTGGTGTTCGCTATTAGTCAAAAGCACTAACTGTCCACTGCAGACATCTTTGTCTCTCCGTGACGGAAAGAGAGCCTGACTTGCCCGAAAAGAAACAGAGGGAAAGGCAACAGGTGTTTGCAGGGCTCCCAGCAGCCGGGCACTTGCACCTTCATAAAGAGCTTGCAAGGTAGAGACCGTCATTCCATTCGAGAGCTCGGTGAGGCGTAGGGGCCCCCGAGGTCACATGTCTGCCAAGGGCTGGGGCGCGTGGGCCAGGGTGGCTACGGTTGGTAGATTCACCCTGCTCACAGGTGAGGGAGCGGCCTCCAAGTGGCTACATGCCGTGTGTTAGGTCCGGCAGCTCCAGGCCACAGCCCCCTCGTGTTCCCGTCCCCCGGCTGCGGCTGCAGGACACGAGCAAGAGCCTCAGGCAGGGGCCAGGAAGCCCAAGTCCCAGAACTCACTCCACTGCCAATGCCCTGTCACCCTGGCCAACCAGCATCCTCTCTCTGGGCCCATTTCCACTCTGAAAGAATGGGAGTTTGGGGCAGGTGACCAGAGCCCTTTGCGAGAGAGAAGTCTAAGATTCTATGCACAGGGGCCAGTGGCTCCCCGCAGGAAGGCCCCTCACTATGTCTAACCCACTGGCCCCTGCAGACATCTGGAGACATGTCTGGCTGCCACGGCTGGGGTGGGGACGCTACTGGCATCCAGCGCTAAACAGCCTACAACGCACAGGACAGCCCCGTCGCAAAGAATTATCTGACCCCAAATGTCAATAGTACTGAGGCTGAGAAACCCCGGCTGGAGTTTTCTCCACAATCCAGGGCTGGGCTGTTCTTCTCTACAGCCTGGCTGATGGCAGGTGGCCCAAGGCTCAGAATCCAGCCAGAGCCAAGCTCTCCTACTGACCACCCATGGCACGAACAACCAGTTGGTGGAAGCAGTCCTTCCCAACGCCGCCCATGTGTCCCCTCCTGGCCCCCCTCTCATGCTGGCGGCAACACCTGGGCCCCTCCGCACCCCACTCGGATGCTCTCTGGCCCTCTCCACTCAAGCCCGTGCCTGTGGAGGGGGTTGTCAAGGAGGCTGACGGGGCAGGCGATGGTACTGTGCCCTGGCCGGGTGAGAAAGAGGTGGGCGCAGAGGGGATATATTCAGTAAGCCACCTAGCCTAGACGGCCCGTTTCTTCCTGGGTAGCAAAGCAGAACAGCACCTACTTCCCAAGGCTGGCCTAAAGTCCACATGATACTGGATGTGTGGAAGGGCCCGGAAGCAGGCCCGGCCCTTGAAAAATCACGGACCCCAACACTGGGACAGGCTGTTGGTGAGCCAGTGGACAACTCTTAAGCAAACGGGATGAGAGAAGAGTAACAAACTAGAAGCATGGGAGCAACCTTGGCCTGAAGTTATGAAAGTTCAAACGAGGCTTACTTATAGTTCAGATAGGCTTGTGGGTTTTTGACGATGTAGCGAGCTCTTCGTCCAACTGAGTGAGATGTTTTATCCAGAGACTCTTCAAAGGTAGCGTGCAAAATGTCCCGCACAACCTGCCAGGGGACGAAGGGGCCCTTCACCTGGAGCAAACACAAGCCGAGATGGAACGTCAGTATCCTCAGAGCCCACGTTCCAGGTTCTTAACGTAAAGGAGGGGGGAGGGTATGTTCTGTGGCGCCTCTTTCTGCAGCAGATACCCCAAACTATGAGATTTACGGAGCACCGACTACGTGCCTGGCACCAGTGAGGTGTTGGGCGAAGAATAAGCCCAAGTCCTCAATGTTCATTGGGAGAGAGTGTCTTCTGGCAAGTAACAGGTGCTCAGAGGGTGTCGGGTAATACTGTCTGGAGGAGCAATATGTTAGGGAGCGTTAGGAGTACATCACTGTATTTAGACGGTTCTAAAGGTTCAAGTTCATGTTATGTGTGCTCAGAAACATTCTGCACATCAGCAGAAACAGAAGCACTGAAGGAGTTTCATCAGAGACTCGGGAGAATGTCTCGGCCAAAACGTGCAGGAAGGCAGAGCCCAGACAGGGAAGGGGGCTTGCCGACAAGGTTATTTTCCGACAGCCCCCAGAATGAGGAGGCCCAAGAATCTGGTGTCAATTCAAGCAGGGGAGTGGAGGCTCTGCTGGCCCCTCCAGCTGCATGGAGGGTGGGTGGCGGGAGGCACCTCCCTCCTGTCAGTGTTGCGATGGAAAGCCATTGCAGAGGTAAAGAACAGATATTAGGGACAGCGACACGTCACCTCCAGCTTGTTTCTGGGAGAAGGGATTGGGCTGGTATTTAGGAGGGAATGGGGGGGGTGTTAAAGAACATCTGGGAAAAGTGGTCCAGAAAAGGAATCCAATGAGCCTGCAGGCAGAGGGCACCCAGGGCTGCACCTCTCGGCCGGCGTGCCTGAGGACAGGGTACACAAACCGGGCTCGGAGGGAGCTGCCGTTCCCACGCTACCCGGCGGCATTACGACCTAGAAGGGGCCCTGCACTAGAAGGTGGCAGAGCCCATTCTCCGGTGGCTTTGGTGAACCAGTTCGATTGGACATTTGCCTACCTCGATGCTCCCTATGCCTTGCTGCAAACTCAGAAGATCCCAACAGCACAAAGTGGCGGGAACAGACAGCGTAGGAGTCAGTGAGGCTGCTGTGGGGAACAGGGTGAGGAGCTGAACTCCAGCTTGGGCCTCGGGACCTTCTTGGAGGTGGTGACATCGGAGGAAAGAGGAAGAATCTGCTACCCGGGAAGCGAGTTCCTCCCCAGCTGCCGGGGTTCAGGGACACGGCCCGGGAGGACACATGAGTGTGGGGGATGGTGGCACGGAAGGCGTGGAGCCAGGCCGAGGCCGCCATCACCATTCCACACTGACTCAGTACCCAGCGGCTGAGCAAGCACTGTGCGGCAGGCACCATGCTGGGGGCTGTAGCTACGGAAACAAACGAGAGTCTCCCTGCCTCGTGAGGTGCAGCTGCGCCAATGGGCCAAGAAGGACCAGCAGCAAAAGCAGCATGGAAAGTCTATGTCCAAGGGGCGCAGCAAGAACACGGTCATTACTTCCAATTGGCAGGGTCACTGAAGCCTTTCCAGAAATGATAAGCGGTTAGGAGAGATAGAGAGGGGAGTTTTCCAGGCGGATGAGGGCGCAAAAAGGGGAGCAGAAAGTGTCAGACCCCTAGTGAAGAGGGAAAGAACAACCCTGGGCCGCCTAGCCTGCAGGTAGGCAAAGATTTGTGTGTGTTACCCCAAGACTGGAAAGAAACGTGCAAAAATGGGAGCATTCATTTGTAGGATTCTGGGCAATGTTCTTCCTGGTGGCCAAGCAAAACAGACGAGAGGAGTGCCCCAGGGGCCACACAGGGAAAGGGCTCCCCACAGGAGGGGAAGCCATGCCACAGGCTGCAGGCCGGGAAGGAACAGGGCCCGGGGGGCTGAATACCTTGGTGTTGAGGACATTGCTGGCTATCCGGCAGAGCATGAGCAACCCGTCCTCCTGCATGGACCAGGTGACACGCAGCCGGGTCATCCTCTGCAGGGCGCTCTGGTCGGCCTCATCGTGGTAACGCAGGCTCCTGCTTTTCTCTTGGGGGGACTCTTCTGAGAATATCAGGGGGAGAAGAGAGGGAGCCTCTAACAACTGGTTTGGAGCTGTCACTCTGGAGAGGGAAGGGTCCCTACTCAGCTAGTGAGATCTGACCAAGGGTAAGGGTTATCAGAATCACGCTGTGTCGGAAGCCAGATAAACTCACCACAAAAGACTCAGGCCTCGATACATATATATACATAGACAGATATATTTATCTATATCTATATCTATATATATAGATAGATTTTTTTTTTCTTTTTAGCCCTCTTATCATTTCTCTTTGGTCAGATTTCATGGTGACAGGCTGGGCGGCCTGAATGCAGCCTCCTGTTATCTGCCAATCTCCCATTCTTCCCACTGTGGTGCTAGGTAGGGCCCCCACCATGCTCCTGCGTGGTGACCTCAGAGATGTTGTGTGAACTCTGGGGCACCGTGGGGACAAGGTGCATCCTACACAGCTGCCTTGAGGACTGAGCCAGACTGGGTATAAAACACCCAGTGCGGTTGCCAACGTTATGGGAATACTGACTGTGTGCCAAGCACCGGTTTAAGCTTTTTATGTATAACAACGCATAATTAAACTACTACTTTGCAGGGCGCCTGGGTGGCCCAGTCGGCTGAGCATCTGACTCTTGGTTTTGGCTCAGGTCATGATCTCAGGGTTGTGGGATCAAGCCCCTCCCTGGGCTCGAAGTTTGGCGTGGACTCTGCTTGGGATTCTCTCCCTTTCCTCTCCCTCTGCCCCTCTCCCCTCCTCGAACGTGCTCTCTTACTCGCTCGCTCTCTAAAATGAATAGAATCTTTAAAAAAAAAAAAAAAAATTCTCCTTTGCACCAGCCCTAAAAGGAGGCAGTTATAACCCCATTTTGTAGTTGAGGAACCTGAAACATGGTGAGATATAGCGATTTGCCCCAAGTCACACAGCCTAGTCGGGAGCCAGGATCTGAACCATAAGCTCTTACCCACTAGGTTATTTTCAACATCTCCTCCCCATGGCAGTTTCACAAGGTAAACACCATATGCTACTGCCAATTCCAAGAGACTGTTTGTTTAGGAAGTTTTTCCAAATTAAGGCAGAAGAAAAGTAGGGCGAGAACATTTGGGATTCCAAGGGACACCACCACCGTATTTTGCCTTGTGATGAATTCAGGTCTTTGTGAGCCAAACTGATCTCACGCATATCTGGATAGGCTGCGCTAAGGGGGCCTTTCCAACGGACACAAGGCGACTTGTTATGAACGCCAGCCAAAGAAACCACTGAAAACAGGTTCCCGTTTAAACATTCTGTTCTTGTCTGAAAGTGCTATAGCTATCAGATCGTTGTTACAACACACAGACCACTTCGAGGATGTAAAAGTGGTCGAAGAAGCACACCAGTCTCCTCACTGTCCAAGATTCCAAAACACGCCCCAGGGGTTCCTGAGATTGGAAGAGATTCTGCAGGCCTGACCGACTCCCACCTTTCCTCTAATTTACAAACACAACAGGACTTTGGACTTTGGCCTGATTAACATGATGCAGATATTAAAAGCCAAACCAAAAGAATAATAGGATTTGGGCTGTGATGAGGATTTCTACTAAAGACTTTTCAGTTTTCTCAGTTGAGATGAAGTTAGAAAATTGAAGCAAGGGAGCTTACTGAGAAGGTGCTCTACAACACAAAGACAGGGAAAACACATCAGGAGCCCGCGGATCTGTCTGCCAGCTCGATGTGGGGAATAAATCGGCAACCATGCAGTTAGCCCCCCAGACGGTGGGCAAACAGAACCCCGAGTCTGAGGGCAAAGCTCACCCCGGCCGCAGAGACACGACTGCCTCTCTCTGGGCCGGAATGTACAAAGACAAGGCCCACAGATACAAGCAATCATCATGAAACCTTTTTTCTTTCTCTTGATCTTCTTTCCAGGGTCTCTCTTCAGCCGTTTCCGCTTCTGGCTTCTTCCACCCCTCACTCTCCGGTTCCTGTCCAGCATGGGCTCTCGGTCAATCTCGAACTGCTCTTCCCGGTCAGCGCACAGCTCAGTTCCCACTCTGGCTTCCCCCCAGATATTCAACCTGCCACTGCCTAGAAATAAGCACAGGAGGTGAGCATCTCAGGATGTGCCCCGTGAGGGCCAGAAAACGAATGGAACGTGCCGTAGCCACGTGGCCTGAGCCACGTCTGTTTCCAGGGTGAACTCCCCGCACACGTACCTCCGGCACCGAGTGGCAATGGGCGCTTGGATAGAAACGTCTGGAGCCTCACCATGAGCCCATTTTCAGAAGCAGTGTTCTCCTAAAAGGCAAGAGCATCACTGGAATCAAGCAGCGGCTTCCCTGAACCCCCAGGGGCCCAGAGCATCAAATGCACAGAGGTGTTCAGGTTTCTGCCGAGAGGCCGGGGGCAGGTGGGCTGCTCTAGGGGGTGGGCTGCTCTAGGGGCTGGGCTGCTTCTGTGCACTTCCTCATGTCTGACCTCTGTCTCACAGACTTTCTGTTCCTTCTTTCTTTTTTCTCAAAGATTTTATTTATTTGAAAGAGAGAGAATGAGAGAGAGAGCACACATAAGAGGGGGCGCACAAGAGAGGGGGGAGGGTCAGAGGGAGAAGCAGACTCCCTGCTGAGCAGGGAGCCCGACCCAGGACTCGATCCCGGGACTCCAGGATCATGACCTGAGCCGAAGGCAGTCGTTTAACCAACTGAGCCACCCAGGCGCCCCTGTTCCTTCTTTAAAAAGGAATAACTGTCCACATCACAGAATCAGTTAGAACCCACTGAAAAAACATAGGCCAGACCAGATTGATATACCTACCATACATACGGAAATAAATACTCGAGCCTCTGGTCAATTTTGTTTTACCAGTTCAGAAACGGGGGCAAGGGGGATGGGTAGCTCAGGCAGCTCCCGGCCAGGGGTGGGGGGGGCCTGCCCCCCAGAAGCCCACCTTCTTGGCCTTGCTGATGATGTAGCTGGTCCAGATCCAGTTGCGCTTTAGGTGCCCGTAGAAACTGGAATCGAGCCCAGCGGCTCCCAGCCCATCCCCAGGGATCGAGCCTTCATCCACAACCTCACGGCTGCCCCTGAGAGGCGGGAAGTAAACAGACAGAGAGCCCCTCTTGGGAACTGAAGAGAGAGCCTGTGCCATGGCTGAGGGTCTTTTTTCTAACTTTTACCTTTTTTGGTAATACCTGACAGAAGCAAAGCACTTGTCAAAAACCCCGGATATTTATGTAAAATTCCCAATTTTTAAATTTTGGCAACCGATTTTTTTTTTTTGAACAATATAGCCCACGGCCACCCAGAGCCTGGGGCACTCCCGGCCCTACATGCGGGGCCGGACACGGGGGGCTGGTGTGTGTGGGGCGGGGACGCACGTGTTGTACTCCATCATGGCGCACTTGCGCTCCAGGTTGTGCTTGTCGATGGCGCTCTCCTGCTCCTTCTGCAGACTGCCCTCCTCCTCGAGGCCCTGATCCTGGGCGCTGCTCCTCCTGACCCGCGGGTAGCGCACCACACCTAGGAAACGAAACACGAGCTTCCCTGAGGATGGTGTGCTCCTGCAGCTCGGGGCGGCCAGGGCGCACGGCTGGGGCCAGAGAGAGATTCCCTTCCTGCGTCTGCTCCCGACCAGCGCAGGGGCTCTGAGACTGCGAGAACCTCTTCGTACAAATGCCTCATCATCGATGTCAGAGCGTTCAACACTGGTGGGTGAACCGAGTGAAGGATTTGTACCCTGGCTGACCTCCGCTAAGCAGGGAAGGCAAGCCGGCAACAGAAGAACCCAACGGGGGTGGGAATCGGGAGCAGAGGGGTCCCAGGCTTCCTTCCTCGGGGGAAGCGTGTGGAGCTCCCGGGCGCTAGCCCAGAGGGAGCAGTGGCTGAGGGGTCGGGATCAGCAGGGATCTGGACAGACAGCTCAGTGTGGCGTCAGCTTCCCTGGGCCCAGTGGGCAGCGGGAGGCAGCCAGATGTTTCCTGCATGCCCAAGATGTGCATTAACATAGCTGAGCAATCACGTGCTGTTAATCCACAATAAAGAAAACTGCGTTTCTTCCAAGAAAATATAAACTACTACACTACATTGTTGCTTGAGTCAGACAAAGGAAGGTTATGGTGATTTGCAGGGTACCAACGACAGTCTTCTAACACACTCGATGGCAGACCTGGGTCTGGGTGGGGGCCAAGGGGCAGTGGCGAGAGCCCATGCTCCACACCTCTCAGCAGGCGTTTATGTAAGACACCGCGTTCCAGCTTGGCTTCAGCCCATAAGGTGGTGGTGCTGCTGTTCCCAGCTCAGAAATGGAGAGGCAAAACTCAGAGAGGGCTTCAGGGAGGCCCAAGGTCATGCATTTGAATGGCCAGTTGAACCTAGGAGGACTTAAGGCCATGCTGTGTGTTCAAAATGCAGATGTAGGTCATCCCCACGCCTGCTGAATCCAAAGCTCTGGACAGGGCCCAGGAATCCTCATTTCAGCATGCTCCCCAGGTGCTTCCGGTATACCCGTGCTCAGCGCACCCCTGCTCTAAAGGATGCTCACGTCCTATTATATGGTGCTTTTCCCTCAGTCCTCGGGCCAGAACCTCCTCGAATGTTCGGTGAACAAAGGGACAATCGATGCCTGATTAATGGACTCTAAGCCTCCCCACTTTCCGCTCATGAACACTAAAAGGGATGGAAACTCACCAATTGTCAAGCCTCAACAACTCTGGTGCAGATAACATACTGGTTCACAAATTTTCATCTGGGTATAAAATGCAGGGGAATTAGGGCACTCTAAAAATCTGAAATGGTAAAAGCCTAGCTCACGGAATGCCAGAGAACTCCATGAAACACACAGTTCTAAATGGGTCCTGTCTGGACCCATTACATTAAAGGTTCTAAATACAGGAGCTCATTACCCTGCCGGCACTAAACAATTCTACCAAATAAACGTGGGACTCCTGCTTTGCAAAAAGCAAAGTGTACTACTGATCTTCTGGCTCTGTGACAGGAGGAAGGGACGAGGGCTCCTTCCCAGGTGTGGACTGGACGTGACATCCCTTCCTCCTCCAAGTGGCAAGAAGACACCAGATGGAATCTGGCTTAGAGGACAGAGCGCTGATCTATGGCCTCCATAAACCCTCCATCTAGTCAATCAACATTTATGGGATGCCGACGGTGTACCAGGCACTTCAAGACACCAGGGGATGGAAGCCAAATTTCCTGGGCCTGAGGAATCCCCAGAAGGAAATCAGAAAACAGTATAAAGGTGCTGGAAAGGCTTCCTTGAAGAGGCGATGCTTGCCAGGCGGACACAGGTCAGGGGACATTCCAGGGACAGGAAGAAGATGCAAGCGAAGGGCTTATCCCCGAACCCAGCTCAACCGACCTGCTGGCCAAATCTGCTCAGGTCTTCCGCCAAAATATCTCCCCCGCCGCCCCCCCCAAAACCTCCCAACAAACAAAAACAAAAACACCCCACAAAATACCTCCCAGGCTGCCCCCCTCCTTCACGGTCACCAGCGGACAGCTCTGTCTTAGATAAGCGTCACAGCCCTGCTTCTGCTCTTGGCCCCTCAATCCGTTCCCCACCCAGCAGGCAGGGCGCACTTCTCCCTGATCTCCGGATACGGCCTGTACCAAGTCCTGCAAGCCCCCAGCGCTCGGACGACCCCCCCACTGCTTCTCCACTGGCAGCTGCCCTCCCCCACCAGCCCCTTCTGTTTCTGCAACAACACTGGCCATGCCCATGCCTGTGGGGCTCTCGCCCAGCTCTGGGCTTCGCCGGCTCCGCTCAGTGCCCCCGCTTCAGAAAGGCTGCTCCCGACCACCCCAGCCGCCTGCCCTCCACGCACGCCCCTGCACACTTCCTCCGTGGCACGGGGCCCACTCGGGATCTGGAGTGAAGGCAGACACGGCTATGTCCTTGCTCACGGGCAGACCCAAGAGATGACAGATACAAGGTGTTCAGCAAATACCTCCTGAATGCATGAGTGAGTAAGAACCAAGCAGAGTGGCCTGGATGAAACGGGTGTAGGGTGTCTGGGAGCCCCCCATTCCGAGCCCACTGCCCCCCTTTCTAAGGGAGCCCCAAGGACACTCTAGGTCTAGGGGGAGCAGTCTGAAAGCCAGCAGCCACTTCTAGTGTCTTCTTGCCCAAAACCCCGGTGATGGCACAGAAAGCAGGCAGAGCGGTGGGGTCCCGCCAAGATAGACGGTACCTAAAGGGGTGTTGAGACAGACGCACTGCAGATCAAACCAGTAGTTCTCCACATCCTGCATGGAGTTCAGGACGTACAGGCGCCTTTCGAAGGGCCGGCTGCTGTGGGCCAGGTTGTAATGTGGGTCACAGATGGTGGTGTCGACGATGACCGCGTTCTTCTTCAAGAAGATGAAGACCTAGAGACACGTGGACAGGGCGAAGAACGAACCTCAGAACCACGGTCAGGTCAGCTGTCTGGAAACTGCTCAGCCACCAGGACCCCGTTCATTCAGGCGTAAGAGACGTCACCTGATCTTTATCCTGGAACTTTTCCGTGGGGCCAAACTGCAGCAGCCCCATGTGGCACAGCCTCTGAAGGTTCTCTACCACAGAAAAAATGTACCGTCTGGAAAACAGAGGGGAGTGGGGGTTCCAATCACACAACCAGCTGTGGTCAGAGGGTTTGCATCTGGGCTGAGGGGCGTGACTCGCTCGTGGCTCCCTCTTCTACCTTGTGGGTCCTGGAGGGCTGGCCTCGGGCCGGCCCTGGGTGGAGATCCAGATTCTGCCCCCTCCCAACACCGAGTCAGGGCAATGGAGCAGCGATCCTACATGGGGGACTGATTTAGAAAGTACAAGCAGCAAAAGGGGAAACCCATCCCAATACTTGCAGCAGACTTTAGGTTCTTTTAACCTTGGAATTCGGTAATAAAATCTACCCGCCTGCACCTCTCATTTGCCCATGTTTTATCCACAAGGCTCATAGGACCGCTGAATTAACGAAAACCTCAGGTCTTCGCAACCTGGAAGGCAGAACCCTTTCCTCTTCCTGGTGAACGATCATTCAGAGCCCTAACTTCAGGGAGCCTGCCAGGACCCTCGGCCAGTCTGTGTCCATTCCAGGGACCTCACCTCTTGTACAGAAGCTGCTGCCGGACGGGCCTGGGCAGAAAGCGGATCAGCGTGTGCTTCTTCAGAGGGTCGTTCAGAAACTCCTCAAGGTCATCTACCTAAGAGATCATTTTCAGGATCAGCTCACCCTCAAGGCCAGGGTCTATTGCAAGAATCATGAAACACAAGCACCACTCCTTTCTGGACAGTGGTCTCTCTGAACCCATTTTCTGTATTTACCAAATTTCTAAAAATATTATTGTTATAATTATTTGTGTCTTTCAATCTATCTGACTGATCTAACATAAGAACAAGTCTTTGAAGTATTTCCCTTGACCCACCAGGCAACCATCCACCCATCCAATCATTTATCCATCTCTATCCATCCATCCAGTCTATCCTCCCTCCCTCCCTCCCTCCCTATCTATCCATCCATTCTTCCTTCCATCCACCCATCCAATCTATCCATCCGTCCATCCCACCATCTCTCCCCATCATCTTCCTTTTTCCTTCCTTCCTTCCTTCCATCCTTCCACCCACCCATACATCTACCCACCCAACCATCTACCCATTTATCCAATCTATCTATCCTTCCATCTTTCCCTCCCTCCCTCCCACCTTCCTTCCTTCCATCCATCCATCCACCCACCCA